TAAAATGAGGCCATTTGGTGTATATTTAGCAAGGACCCTGAACAAAACAAGCATACAGCAAAGATTTCACTCTTCTTCCAGTGTTCTTTGCACTGTGATGGCCATTGTTTGCCATTCCATAAGAAGGTAATTTACTTCCAGGACAGTCCACTTCAACAGTATTTTTGCCATTAACTTCGATGAGACTTGGGTTCCTCAGCTCCTCAGTTTTTCTTTTCTCTTTATATCCCTTGATTCTCCCTCCCTAGTCCATCTTCCTGCTTTATAGCTTTCCTAGAGACTGGATTCCAGTTTCACCCAATTCTTTTTCCTCTTTCTGAATAGGATGGGACTTTTACACATCCTCAATATGGACATAAAATGTAAAAGGATCCTCATTTCCACGGTGTCATCTCAAATCTTCGACTGCTTCTGTGATCCACAATTCAGTGGTTTGGTAAAAAGAAAGCAGCAGTTTAAGAAATAATGTTCCTAATCTTCAAGTGTTTCGCTGTCACGGACAGCACAGTAATGCACTGGTTTTTATGAAGAACATATTTATAGGCAGCAGAGAAATCATCATACACAACGGAAAAAAGTCCAAAGAAAATCAAACCTGGGAAAACAGCTCACACTGAGATCCACAGTTGTTGTCAAGTTTAAAGGTTCATCATGTGACTTAAATTCTTCAGCTTTCAGTTAGTTCAATACAAAACGAAGATGCTGAAGGGCGTGTCCAGCGAGAATGAAGCCCATGGCAACACTGGTGTTACTCATGTGTGGGGAGACCTCAAAAACCCAAAACCAAGTTCACCACTCATCCGAGTGTCTGGAACAGGATCTTAGTTCCCAACCCTCATCTCAGCAAATACAGAACTGCACACACATGAAAATCTGCATTTGCAGATACCAGTATCTTCCTGCGTACACACTAAACATACTATAATGCTTCTCTTATATGTAACCAGTAGGACTTTCTTTGCAAAGAATTTTCATCCGTAATAAAAGCAAAACCAACGTATAAAATAATTTTCTCCACTTGTAAGTAGATCCTTTCATTAATTTGTAAGCTTCACTTAAGGGATATAGTACTTTTAATTTCTAATAGCTGGTTCTGATGCCAATAATTAAAGGAGCTGTGAATACAGAGGTTGAAGGTTAGCTTTAGAAAAGGCATATTGCAGAACAGATGCTATGTTAGGCAGATCCTACAGTTTTCCCACGGAAGTCCTCTGTGCCTTAAGTTTACTGAAGGAAGATAACAGATTATGGAAAACTACAGAAGAGAATGTCAAAAGCAAAGCATTCTGTAAAATTACATTCTAACTAAAGCAGTAAGTTAACTAGGTTGGCAATGCAACAAATAGTTGGCTCTGGAACACAGGAAGTGAGTTGATAGACATTTTAAATATAATTGGAGTTAAAGCTAATTATATTGCCTGGTTTCCCTGATCAGCTAGAGCAAATCTACTCCTGTACAGTTTTTTGCAAATACAGATCTAGGTCATATTTACATTACCCTAAAATAAAACCAACTTTACCACTAATGCTTCAGACTAATTACTCATTGGAAAATAGACTGATAATTAATGCTAAAAATAAAGGCAAGGCATTTTCTAAAATTTTATAAATATTACTTTTTAAATCTTTCATAGTATATCAATTGTGTAAAGTCAAACTTAATAGGAAGTCATACGGGATTTCACAGGACACACTGCAAGAAAAAAATTAAATGCCTACATCCATTGTATTAACCCAGCAGAAAAAAGTTATGGATTTTCTAGCAGGATATTTGATTTCTTCAGGTATGGAGCACAACCAAAACTTCTGATTACTACTTTCTTTTGTTGTGTTGGCTTTTCAATCCCTTCATAATTCTTTAGGCAATGTAGCTATGCACAAATGACTTTGTTTTACTGTACCTGAATGCCAAAGACTAAGTCAAGTGTGTCTCAATACCAATTAGCAAGAGTTATAATTTTAAAATCAAGTTTGGGCACATTTTATCTTAATTACATGTTTTGGTAAGACCACAGTGCACAGAGGACCCACTGTGTGTCAAAGAATCCTGGACAACTCTGCAACACACTGTCTCAAGACTCTCCTAATCATACATGGATGTAATCACAAAACAATCCAAGTAACTTCTTCGGGAACACCATCAAAAAATTCATAACAACTCCATAAAAATCCTCACAGGGCAACATTTCCCACTTACCGCTGTTTGAGGTCAGAACTTCACCTGGAGGCTGACTTCCAGATATTGGCTGGGGATCCAGCGTGGGGTTTCCAGCTTGTCACCGTGCCAGTAAGGAATAAAGTTAAGTACCTTACCTGTTACTTCAGGCATGTAGCACCAGTGTTTCTGGGCACACACACCTTAGAGAGGTCTACACACCACAGCTGCAACCAGATCCCAGTTTTGTGATGCACCACAACACGTCTGGAAGCAGTTTAAGCTTCTGTGCCAGGGGCTGACATACTCAGAGACATTTCCTCCAGCTCCACCTTGTTTTCCCCACGCCCTGCTGTGGCAACAGCTTGAACCCAAATCAAAAGGCTGTTTCCTGGCGCCAGCAAAGACATTGAGTTGTGCCCATGGAACTCCCTCTCGTGCCTCCTTCCTCCCAAGGAAAGGTGCAGGCCAGATGGGTATCTCCTGTGGCACGTTCCGGGCTCCTGCCTGGATAACGCTCTAACTCAAGGGGGGTCTGAATTCAGGCACAAGGACTGAAGACATCCCCCCAAAAAAAGCAACACAGAAAGGTTACACGTGTAACTTATTCTACTTGATACCTGCTTAAAAGCTACAATTACAAATAAAAATTACACCCGAGTCTTATTAAGCTGTCAAGGCTCTAGCCATGTGCTGTCGGAAGATAGGGGGTGCTGTAGTAGGTTCTGGCTAAAGCCTCTTTAAATCTCTTGGAAAAGGCAGTCAAAAGAGGCAAAAAATATTTCTTTGAATAAAAGATACAGTTTTTTTTTTTGTGTGTTTGTAGTTTCTATTTATTTATTTATTTTTGTTTTATAAAATGTGCTGTTTTTTTTTTTTCCCCTCATTTCTCTCTTTTTTTTTTTTTTTTTTTTTTTTTTTTTTTTTTTTTTTTTTTTTTTTTTTTTTTTTTTTTTTTTTTTTTTATTTTAACTGGGATGATGGATATAGGATAAGGAAAAGCAGGAAGGGGGTGATCAGTAAGAGTACAGGCTTCTGAAAATACAGTAGTAAAAAAAGGGACAGTCACCTGCTTGACTGCGATCCCCAGCAGGACTCTGCCAAGCACAGAATGGCTCCAGCCCAGGAGGACAGCAGGCAGGTAAGAAAACTCGCATTTGTGCAGGTCCCAACAAACATATGACTCATACTATTCACTCTCTCCACTTACTTGGCCTTTCCAACAAATGTGTCTCACCCCTGAGGTGAATGGTTTTGTTGGTACAGATTTTCTCCATCAGCGCTCTCTGGAAACTGGCAGGCTAAGAGAAGTTTTCATTATCACAGTTCATGAAGCGCCCAGAAATCAGATCTTTAAGGCAATCAATTGTAATTATGTAAAATCTCAGGCTGCATCCAGCTCTCCCACTCTGCTCATGCTACTGTAACTGCATGATTTCAGTGGAACAGATTCTGACTCTTACCAATGAGATGAGAGTTGCCCCTAAAATTACGTTTCAGGGAACACAAGAAACTGTGCAAGAAAGATAATGTATTTGAGAACATTTTTAATAAATAATGTGACAAAAATTACTTTTCTGATTATTGGATCCTCAGTATGCAAAATTATGGCTAAAATATGAGGTTTCTTACATGAACATAATGAAAACATTAATCACATGGATTTTTCCTTTAGTACTGCACACCCTTTCTATGGAACCTTTCTTTAAAAATTAGCTAAATGAAAAATTTCAGTCCTCGGTAAACACCAAAACACTTTTTTTTCTTCTTTTTTTTTTTTTTTTTTTTCCATTGGGGCTAGTCCTGATAGCTGTCAATAAACAAACACACATTTTTCCATTAGCACCAATGACAAAGAAATTTTATAATTACAAAAAAGATCATAAAATCTACAGACAGAGGACATCATTTGGCAAATTCAATGCAACTAATGCCTCTATTTCAGCTTTAATGATAATCCAATGTTGAGAGAGGCCACAGAAAATTTGGTAATTTTCTGTAAGTCCAGGAAAAGTGAGAAGCGTTTTGATTATGGCCCACATTTACGTTTGTTACTTTACCGTCTGTCATCATTCAAATATTCCAAATACAAACATAGAGCATTAACAAAAAGATGAAAAATATCCCAAACAAATGCTTAACATTTTCAATAAGACAAAAAAAAAAAAAAAAAAAGGTTAAAAGTTACAATGGTTTAAAAAAAAAATCTAGTGATTGTGCTTTTAAAACCAAAAAAAAAAAAAAAAGATAAGCAGTGCATTACAAAAAAATTCATCGCCAAGATCAAACAAAACTTCTTTAAGTGGCACTTCTTCTTTAAGGTGAATTGACACAAGTAGAGGTCTGAGATTTGGGCCAGTAACAGTTGATGATATTACCTAATAATTATTAAAAATGTCCATTGATTTTCTTTTCATAAGCATCGTTGAAACTGAAAATTAGAAAAAGTTTCAGATAACCTTGCTCATGCTATATGATTAGGCAAATAGCAATCACACTGGCTTACCTCCTGCCTATCCCAAAGGACATTTTTAATAAGAATGTACTTAATGATGAAAATGGAAAGACAAATCAAAGTACCACAGGGGATTTAAAATGAGTACATATTTACAACAAGAGCCACCTCATCCCAAATTAATTTTTACTTGCGCTTGTCAAACTGTATCATCTGCAAAAGGTTAGCAAGAGACCGGCAGGAAACAAGACACGCGGTGTGTACCGAAAATTGCAAGGTACCGCCTGCCCTGACTGCAGATGGGACCCCGAGAACCAAAGAACGCCGTGCACGATGTTCGCTTTGGGGACCTCCTTTCCGACCGCCGCGGTGTCACCGATCGGCTCACGGGTGTACCTGGCCGGTGCACCCGCTGGGGAGAAACCTCAGCATCCCAGGCTCTGGAATTCCCTTCTGCTCTACTCCAGGAGCAGCCGCTGGCCCAAGCACCATGAGGAGCAGCTCACCTGCCTCCCTGGATGCACTTCAGCGTCACGGAACGGGCAGGGGCCGATCCCGGTAAGGGGGGGCTTACAAAGAAAAGAGTAAAAAATAAAAAACTAGCAATCTGATGGCATGAAGAAAAAAAAAAAAAAAAGAAAAAATTGTACACTCTGATTGCACTGAACATTATTTCTGGCGTCAAACATCATCAGACTTGAGGCATCTTAAGTGATTTTTTTTTTTTCTGATTAGATTTTAAAAGCCTGTTACAGTACATGTCGTCGTCTTCAGCTTTCTGTTTCCTGTATTAAAAAAAAAAGAAGAGGACATAAATTACTACGTGTTAAATTTTATTTTTTTAAATTTGTTTTCAATACTTCTTAGAAATTTGCTACTTTTACATGATAACTACTAGTTTTAATTACGCACAGCAGCAGGACTGTATGTTGGCCACCCTTTCTACAATCAGGATGTAAACTGAATTAATATCATTAGGTGGAAAAAAAAAAAAAAGAAGAAAAAAGTTCATTTATCAACATCTAAAAAAATCTAGAATGATGAACTGTCAAAAACTGTGAAAGGTGATATCAAGGTGTTCTCAGATGCTCTAGTTCTTTATTTTCACTTTCAAAAGAATCTGGATAATGTAAAGTGCACTTTAAAATACTGTATTTCTGCAAGCTCTATTCCATAAGTTTTAGTGTGTTGACAATTATATTGTGCTATACATTATTTGGTTTTTATGGGCTTGACACATTCTTCAAGTTTATTTTCTTGAGTTGGGCATAACTTGAATAGACAGATAAATGTACTAAGTTTTCTGAACAGAAATATTTCTGGTTCAAAAACGTGTTTTCTTGGTATCTGTCTAAACACAAAAAATAGTCTTATTCTGTTATCTTCAGTATTACAACAGTTACCTCCATCTCTTCTTCTTCTTCCTCTTCTCCTTGTTCATACGCTCCCAGTACTTGCATTTCTGCAACATTCCTTCGGGCTAGATTTGCTTGATCTGCCCTCTGTCTGCCTCCTGATCCTCTTGACGACATGGAGCTGGAGGAGCTGGGATCTCTAGGATTATTTGATGTTGGAAACGTTGGTCTAGAATATGGCAGGATGTCCTCTGTATAATTAAATGCATACATTGTTATGTTTACAAGCCCAGAGATACCGTGAACCTAACATTTCTGCATGCAGTTGATTTATTTTACTTTTAATGATTCCCAGGAGGTTTAAAGTGATGCCTGAAAGGAATATGAAATACACCGTTTCCATAATAGCATTATAGAAGCTTTCTCAGGGAAATTTATGGTATTTACATGGTAACATTCTCCACAGAAAAACTAATTCATGATTACTGTCCACTTCATTTCAATTTAGGATCCTTGCTCTATGTTCTACAGGAAAATGAAAAAAAAAACCACTCCTTGTAGTATATTTTCAATATGACTGAGTAGGAGGAAATGACAATATATGTACGATACAAGGAACTCATTCCATATAAATATTTCTTGGGCTGAGTTTGAACCACAATTAGTGGTCCTATTTCAAAATTTCAGCATCGTCCTCTGTGGTAACCTTCTAGTAACTTTTCTCTATAGCAAGCCACCGTAACCAAATTCTTACTCATGTGTCCATTGAACCAACTTACTATCCAGTCATTCCTGATATTATCTATGGATACCTGCAGGTAGCAAGGACCAGGCATTTGTATCAATCTGTGTTAAAAGTCTTAGTGAACACTTAGCAAGTTCCATTAATCATGTTCCATTAATTAATAATCTTACCAACTTCCATATAGAAGAGATTTCTTTGGTTAGATCTACCTCATACCATGCCATGTCAGTTAGTATTTATAACTAATGATTCACTAGTAGGGCTTTCTTATGCTTTAAGCAGGACCAGGTATCATTCTGGCCCTTTTCTCCTTTGCAAATAGGCAAAATGGGCCAAGTGCGGATTCTTCAGTAGAAAAGTTAAGTATCTGCCTTACAGATCTCTATCTGACTTTACTCAGTTCCCTTATAAATCAGATTATAATTAGATAAAATATAACTAGACTGCAAGTGTATAGGTAGGGGCAAGGACATTGATCCTTACAACTCCCAAGGAATATTTCTGTTTGGGCTTCTTCAGCATTAGCTTTAATACACGGTGGGTCTAAGGACAGCAAGATAGACAATCTGCTTTTCCTAAGCTTGTATTTCTATTTTACCCTAACAAGAACCCACAGTGTGACCTAAATTAACACCGTACAATCACCACAGACGGTGGCAATTCAGCAGCTCTAACTTCACTTCAGCAACCCGAGAAGAGCTGGCCCGTTCCCCGTGATCAGCACCCAACACTTCAGTAAACCCAGGGCAGGCAGAACAACCTTGAAGAAGATGAGTTTTTGCTGGTGTGCCGTCTCGTTTTGGTGCTTTGTTTCCTCGCAGTTTCCCGTCGCTCTGCTGTTCCTGGGGCTCTCGCCGCTCTCCCGAGTTTGTCCGCACGTCTGAGTGCTGCCTGCCGTCCATGCCGTCCCTCCCCTTGTAGCTGGCTCCTTTCCTTTCCGCAGACCTGTCTGTCCTCACCTCTATAGAAGCCAGTTTTGGCAGCATGACCGGCCGCACCTCCAGCTGCGACTTGGACTGGGCCGTCGGTGATTTTATGGCCGGAGGTGGCACAGGAGGAGGTGGCAAGTCTACAGGGTTGGAAGGGAATAATGATTATGATGACATCACACCCCAGTGAAATTAAGACATAATATTTAACTTGAACTGAAGAAACAGATGCCCTGTTTACTTTCCCTCTGCCCTCCTCTCTCCACCCCAAAAAGTGTTATGTTACTGTTAAAAACTGCTGATGAGTACTTTTCTGAAGCTTGAACTCTAAAAACACAATGTAAGGCCTCTCACTGCCTTTCCAAATCCCAATATTTTCTTAAAAATCATTTACCAAAAAAACTGCAATAAACCTTAAGCACATAAATATTAACATGTCAGTTATGAATATCAACACAGAATTAAGGATACCGACATGATATTGCTGATATTTATCATTTTTGCTAAGTGCATTCAAGAACACAGCAGCTTGTGCTATAATTGCTCAAGGTCTTCAATGTAGTGAGCATCAAAGCAAGCTAGCTAGGGTGTAAGAATGTATATCAGATCCACTGTTGACATATATAAGGATAATTATATATCATTATATATAATAATGATTGCATTTTTCTTTCAAAATAATTGTTTAAACTAACATAAATATCCTTTGTGTCTGTGGGTATGTCATGAGATACCAAAAAAAATAAATACAGTCAGCCAATGAAGTAACAAGCTCTCAGGAAGAGCAACAACAACACCACCAACAACAAAAGAAAAAGACACACAGGATTTTAGAATTTGTCTCCTTAAATTAGCACAGCTTAAGGGGTTCTAGAATTCTGAATATTTTAAAATACTACTTATAAAGCATGCATATATTTTGCTTTGTTATATTTTTCTATTCCTGCATTAAGACATAAAACCAGAATGTGCAAACTGTTCATCAGGATACAACAGTGCTCTGTGGAATATAAAATGTAGAGAAAAAAAGGTGAGATGACAGAGATGTTTCTGAGGTTAATATTCTCAAGTGAGATTGCTAAAAAAGAAAATAATGGCATATTAAAAAATGTAACTTCAGCATTTTATAATACCATGCATTCATTCTTTCTACTTCCACAAAAATCTTGGAGCAGCTGTGTTTTTCAGACACCATCACTATATATACAGCTAATTCTCAGTCTATTCAGGAGAATGTTTCAATTGAAATGCAACTAAATTGGGCCAAAAATAAAGGTAGTACTCCTGAACAAGAAAAAAAAATATGCATCTAACATATGCATATCAAATCAGATGATCCTTGTGGGTCCCTTCCAACTGAGGGTATTTTATGATCCTATGAAAATAATTTCATTTATGGCATGGGAAATATTAGACTACAGACTGCCATATAAAAAGGCAGATCTCTGGGCAATAGGCTGCACTTATTTATCTGAGGAAACTAAAACTGAAATGGAGACCCAACTTCTGACTCAGTAAGATATGAAACGCAACACATTTTGGCGAGAAAGCACAGAATTGGTTATGTTGCATTCTTCTGTTATCCATAACTGCTCAGACATGGTTTACAGAGGTACCCTCTGCTCAGTACACAACCTTAGCAACCTAACTCTGTAATCCCAGCCATCAGAGCAGCACCCAGACTACCTCTCCTAAAATTGCCCTGTGAGGTCCTGCCACCAAAGAGCGAACCAAACCACTTTCACTGGGCTGCCCAGGCCTGTAGATGCAAACTTGGGTTTCTGGATCACAAGGGCCCACAGAGAGGTCCATGAGATCTTTAGTGTCAATACCTGCTGCAGAAAAAAGTGTTGGTCTGGAGAAGTACATAACCTTCCACAATTCCACAGCTATGTTAAAGTTTGTGTGAAGTCTGACTGAGACCTCAGAGTAGTGTATAACATGTTCCTTGAAAGGTCACATCAGATCCAGACTTGCAGCAATTACACAATTTGGACAACATAAAAAAAATAAGATAAAGCCTGGATTAGGCTGTGGAGATTCAAAGAGTGTTTTCCTTTCTGAGGAAAACTTTGTTCTCTCAATATGCCTTCTCTCAGAAGAGGATACACCGATTCAGAAGTGGATGGAGACACTCAAACCAGAAGTGTAGGTTTCTTAGAACCACAGCTGTTCACACAATATCTTGTGTCTCACATGCCCCCTTCACTGTCTCTATTATGAAGTTCCCAGAGCACTGAGCAGCCATTCTGTGGAGCCTGATGATGTACAGGGAGTGCAGGTACTTAAAATAAGCCTTTTCAGACACCCCTGGAGCCAGTGTGTCCAACAGGTGTGGCATGGCAGTGCTCTGGCTGAATACCAAAGGGAAGGAACAGCATCTTTCCTGTAGCCTATAAAATACAACCTGGAACAAACTACTGTATTCAAGAATTCCATCCAGCTGCACAGGGCAATGAACAAAGTGGCGTTAAATCTTGACTATGGAAAGGAAAGATGCATTGATATAAAAAGTTTCATAAACCGGCAGTAGCTCTATGGTACAGTAATAACTAAAGAAAAGTGATATTCTCTTTGGAGAACATTTTTGCAACCTGCAGGGAAACTATAAAAATCTTCATTATAACACAGTACTTCTCACTGAGAAGAATCCTTTACAGAGGAAAAGAAAAAAAAACCCTTTTCAGAGGTCAACACTATTACACCCCTGTGGTATTTATTTTAACAGCTCAGATCACAGAGAAAATCCAGATTCAATCTGCCTCCTCGAGTACAAACTGGCACACTCCTTATTAAAAGCAGAACGGAAGCTTCCATTGTAAGGAATAAAAAGTAAATCACAAAGCAACATCAAACCAATATAAGGAACTCAGAAGTATTTGTTAAAGGTCAGCTGTGCTCACGTTTCATTCATGTCATGTATTACTTATACTGCTTCCCATGTAACTCAAACAATTAATGGATGCCATTTCACAGCACAGTCTACAGTAGAAACCTTGCAGATGTGTCTTTTGAAAGGAGGGATGATGATTTTCTACATGAGAACGTATTCAGGAATCATGGGATAAACAGAGGAAAAATAATCTGGTAAGTTAGTTTGACACTAAAGTGGAGAAATCACAAATAAGCACAAAAAGATGAATTTTCACTAGTAACAAATGAAGCCTTATAAGGTAACTCTTTCTTTTATCAGGCTGTAGATTTCTACAGTTATACCCTAAAGATAACAGCAGAGTTACAGATTTGATGCAATATTGGAGAAAATCCATGGAAGTGCTCAAGGTCAGGCTGGATGGGGCTCTGAGCAACTTGATCTAGTGGAAGATGTCCCTGCCCACAGTATAGGGGTTAAAACTGGATGATCTTTAAGGTCCCATCCAACCTAGGACATGCTATGATTCTGTAAGGTACAAAGAAAATTTTTTCTAATGCATGTTTGTGCAGGCATGCAAAGCTGAATGTTGCTCCTGACTTACAAAAAGCTTTAACAGCATTTAAGATTCCTACACTCATCTTAACCTGAGCTACTATTATTCATGTACTGGAGTTATTTTCATGCTTTGTCTTTCAAGAAGCATGGCTCAGATTTGCACACAATAACTGGATGAACAAATAGATACAGCAAAACCCAACATGATGTATAAAAGCAATGGGTTGCTGCCTTTTTTTCCTTGCCTTTATGTACACTTACATAACTAGCAAAACAATTTTCATTCCACAAAACCTCCCTCAGCACCAAAATCAGCATTTAAAAAATATCAAATATTTCACAATGGACCCAGAAGTAAAGACTTAGAAAAGGGTAGGTATCTGAAAATTATTATCATTCAATAATGAGCTGATTTTTAGCAGAGGCAAGAAATGCATTCCTACTTGTTTTCTACCTTGCTGAATTGTTTATTGTACAGAGTACATTTTTTTTTTGTAGTGCATAGGCAGAGAGAGACAAAAGTAGAAATGGTGTTGGCAAGGACAACGGCTTAACATTTCCAAGCAAAAATTCAAGGAATATCTGGCAGATGTTCAACTGCCTTTTGTGAGAAATTCAGCTGCCCTCACGTCGTGTCATTGGTAACAGAGCTAAATAACTCAGTTATAGTCTTAACCAGTCAGTTGAGAAAATGTTCAGTATTTTTTGTCACTTAGAGACTTGGGAAAAAAAAAAAATCAAGATTTAAAATCTCATGTGAACTGTCAATGGCATAATTTCTACTGAAAGATCTACTGAATCGAAACAATGGCAAAGTACTTTTATCCTTTTTTCCTTATGCTTACAATTCTGAGGGCTTGTAACTGAGAAGTCAATTCAATACAGTTCAGAAGAGACTCATATATATATATATTTAGAAAAGACAAATGTATTCTTTTAAAGTTTGGTTTCTTAAATTAAATATGTAAGTAGGTCAGACAAGGTTGAGAAGGAGGATCCATTTGCTAGTTGGTTCATGTAATGCACTGTTAGTAAGCTCTCTTAAAAGGCTAGAGGAAGAGCAATTAAAAATTCATACATTTTAATCCTTACCACCTACTGAGCAAAGATTTTTAGCAACAAATATGAAGAACATTTCACTGCCCGGATGACTGTCAAGGAGCAAAACATCTGAGCCGAAATCCCCTTTCACATAAAGTAGCAACTGATTTGAACTAATGCTCACAGAAAACACAAAATTGTTACTACTTGTACAATGCAGAGTAGATCACAGAGTACTCTCCTCTACTATAGCAGACCTTTTACTGGTACATCAGTAACAAACACACCTTCAGAAACACCAATCTCTTTCACAAATCCTGCTGTACAAAGACAAAAAAAAAATCCCAAAGAATTTTTTAAGACTTAGATATATTGCTGCTGATTATACTCTTGGCGTTCTCAATCATTCATACAAACATTTATTTGTATATCCTTTCTGTCAACTAATCATTTAAATTCTTCGTGACACTGGTATTTCATGAAACTTCTAGCAAATACGAATTCAGGTAATTTGGGAACAGCAGAACATTCCTTATGTGTGAAAGTAAATTCCATTTTAAAGTAGTGAAACAATGTATTTTTCTCCTTTTATTAGTAGTTACGGAATGCTTCTAGCAACCAACAAATTCTTGAATTCAAAATATACATGTTGGGTTTTTTTTTTTTGCCTCTACTAAAAAAACATGTATGTTTACCCCCTATGAGGAAATAAAATATTGTTGTATCAGGCATTCCTTTATAAAGATGATAAATAATATTGTGACATCAAGCCAATGGAAAAACCTAAGTATATCTGGGAAAGGTCACTGGTGCTTAAATGTTTCATTCATGCATCCACATTGCTTTTCTCCACTTAAGGAAAACAATTAGCAAATATTACTTTATAGCTAATTCTGACAGGACACAATAATACTAGATGTGGCTATTAAAATGAATGGTTAGAATCTACAGTAAGGTTCCAAATATGCCTATGTAAATAGGCTGAGGGGAAAAATAATTTAAAAAAAAATCAAATCCAAACAAGCCCTTCAACCTTTGAACTGGGTTTTATTGGATCTGCAGAAATTAAAGCCATAATTTGCTATTCCCTGAATGACCACACTGTATTGCACTCTAAAGAGGTTAGTGGAAATTCTCTCCTAATTAGAAAATATGCTGAAGTAAGCAGGTGCTACAAAACACAAAACAAATATTGATCATGATTGCCAAATCTATTGCAATATCAAATCTATTGCAATGACAATGCTCTATGATTTAGCTCTGCATAACTACTTTTACAAAAACCCATCGTCAAATACAGACCCACCTCTTATTTATCCCTGTGTTAGAAGCAAATGGCCACATAAAACTCCCGCCCAGATTTTATTTCTGATGTCCTGGCTGTTGTGTTAGCGTTGAGGTTTGATGCTCTGCCAATTATTTAGTCAAGAGCATTCTCTTCAAAAGAATAAACGCTGATAAAACTTCAATAAAATCTCGTGAAACGCCATTACAAGGGTCTCATAAACATAACATTTCTGGTAGAGTTTTGGGATTTACACCTTGTGTTGTCCTTTTGCAGAAGCAAACACGCACAAAACCACTGTAATAACCTCTCGAAATCAGATAATATTCCAGCAGCTCGGTTTCACTGACAGAAGGGGCCTGGGCACAAGCCAAGAGGCCCAGGTGCACCGTGCCATGCCAGTATTTAACGCAGCCTAATATCAGATAGATGCAACTGAGAGAAAATACTCAGAATAAAGTACAGATAATGGCACGGACAACCACTCATTGCTAAATTACTTCTGCTCATTGTGCTTTGAGCTTTGTATTAAATTTTTTCATCAAGTGGCAGGAATCACAGGGAGAAGTGGTTCAAAACTCCCTTCTTGTAACCCTGGATAAGGATCTATAATATTAGGCTTTCATATGATAATGGCAAATGATGCCCCTCTTTGAAAAATTTCAGGCTGGTAATGAAAGTCCTAATCAGATTGTTGTTGCAGAGAACCAGGAGGCGGGGGAACGATGCCTTTCTTTACCCTACCCCCCACCTCCATCCTCCCCTGTTAGCAAATTCAGCAAACTTGACAAGATGAGTTAAGTCTTGGAGAATTTATCTTACATGAATTTCCAACAAAGCCCGCGGGTTGTTTTATAAAACTGGAAGGTAGTGCTTTAATAAAAGCTGCACCACCTGAGGCATTTTCATTAAAGGCTCTCTCTAGAAAACATCACAATGTTTGCATTATCCTCCTACACCCCCAAGAGAATACAAGCACTACCTTTTCAGCAAGAGTTGATATTGTGTGTGAAGGCACGAGAGAAGATGATTAGATTTTGCTTTTACTCACAAGGTAACCGCTTGCAACAGAGCCGTGGTCAGGATTAGAATTCACTGATTTGTGTTGTCCACCACCAGAACGGTGAATTGTTGGTTTTTTTTTTTCAGGAAAAGATAAATTCTGAAGGTTTTAATAGTCAGTCACGTGAATGAAGATTTTAATCCTAACCAGGCATTATTCTCAATGACTGTCCTATTTATGCTATCTGGGCTCTTAAATAATGACAGTAATTAGCCGATTAGGACACTATAGAAAACAGGTGCGAGGCTCTGGAGTGGAAGCATCAATGTAGGGTATTAAGGAACTCTGGCATTTGAAATGATTAATCTGTTCAGCGTGTTTAGCAACAGGAAACACAAATCACCGAATTCTGAAACAGAATGCTATCTCTGTGGAAAAATTTCACACACACGGGCTGAATGGGTATTTAGAAAGGTTCACTGACGTTTTCAACCGTTTCAGTGGACTCACCATCTGTGTAGACTTCTCTGCGCAGATGTCCTGGCTGGTGTTTTTGCTTTTTGGCAGGTCGGACCTTCTGTATTACAACAGCACTCATGTTGCTGTCGGTAGATACAGGGCTGGTGGGTCTAGGACAGTGTGATGCATGAAAATGTCTACGGCCTGGAAATTGTTACAGAACAGTGTTATTTTTCTTACCTAAGACCTTTCGCTTTTTTTTTAACAACAGAATGACTTGGTTATGCGAAACCTAAAAAGACGCTGCTGGAACAATAATAAAACTCATCCAGTTTTAGAGTGAGCTGTAACTAAATCAGGGCATTTTCTATCACTAGGCAGGCTGGCTTAGTTGCATAGAAATTATCCAGCTGCTTAGTAGCTGGTAGCTCCTGCCCCAGGTGCATGAACTCCATCGGCAGGCAAGCACAAGCAGCATTCCCATGCTGCAGCTTTCTGAAAACAGCAAAATGTTTCTCTTTCCAGACAGGTTTCACCTCCCCTAGCTTGGGCCACGTGAGTTCCCAGGTGCCATAAGCAGAGCAAGTCACCATCAGGTCTCAGGTACAGAAGTCCCCTCTGCCACCTTCAGCGAATTATCAGGAATTGTATGACTGGATTTTATCCCAGCTTATTTGCAGATAAGCAGTGTCACATCTTTAGGGTGTGTAGTGAGGGACAGGTAATATCAATATATAAAAATCACTATGTAACATGAACTTCACTGTTACAAAATTATGAGAAACTGGGTATAAAAAGACCTTTTCTAAATACATAAGCCTACACACATGTAAACATACATATTTATATGAACTTATGTGTTCAGAATAGATAAAATCCTGGCCATGTGGGTATGAATGGGAGTTTTGCCACCTACTTCAATCGGCCAGGATTTCATCCAGAATTACTAAATTACCTCCCCTCTCACTCCTCCTGATGAACAGCTGGGTTGAAATGGAACAAAGGACTGTTAACTCGGAGAGGATATCAGAAATGGGAGGAAGGTTGAAAATCTGTGGAGTCAGGGTGGACACACTGGTGACAGAGTACCTCTTCTCCGGCTCCGGCAGTTTATTAGGACTGATTGTCAAAACATTCATGGGATCTGCCTGAAACTTGCATCCCAGCCTGCTGTACTCTTATTTCTTAGCTGAACTATCACAACACCCATTTGGTCTAGTCGGGTTACTGATTACCTGTATATAACCTGTGTTATTAGCATCCAGTATATTGTATTTCAAATATCATATTTCACAGGACCAATGGTGATTCAGGAGAAAGGAAAAAACCCATATGTATAAGGTCTTGCTGCATATGCATGATCTATAATCCCAACTGCAACTCGTAACAGCTGTCAAATAATGAAACCAACACAAAGCCAGTTTGTCCCAGTAATACAGCAGTGAGAGGTTGAACAGGATTCCTCAAAAGAAAAACATTACTTTTTTTTTTTTTTTTTTTCAAATCCAGGGGATTTGAAAAAATAGGTTTAATCTTTGTTGAACATTTCAATACAGAGGGATTAAATCTTCTCATGAAGAGTGACTGAAAACACTGGGAGCCTTGTACTAGGACATGATAGAATTCTGTAATCCTTTTTCTGCTGGGGTTTTTCTTTCCCTCATTCAGTTCTGGGTGCAAACGCACCAGCAGGGTTGAGATTTGTCAATAATTAGTGAGACCACAAAATTAGGAACTAGTTAGGAAAAACAATGTAGGGCAGCAGCTTACTTTTCCTGACTCTTCCACAAGTGTAAATGCACAGCCTCCACACCTGAATTCCTAAACATTCTAAGAACAGGAATTCAGAAAGCCTCTGTGGGTAGATTCACCTCACAACGGCCACGTTCTTTTCCCCTCCCATCAAACTCACCTCCTGCTGCCTCGTGCATTTGACGTCTGGCTACTTTCAGACCGGCGTATTCCGCAGCTGCTGCCACAGCCTGTGCAAAATCTGCATCGGTAAAAAACGATCCGTCCGAGGAGCTGACGCTGGACCTCCCGCTCGAGATGTTGTCTTCTTCGGAGGCTGAACCCCAGCCATTGATCATGGACCCCGTCACGGAGCTCTCCAGATCCCCAACGCTGGAGGCAGGGGTCTGCTCCAGGCCACGCAAAAGGAGCCTCCTGTTTTGCATCTTGGCGACCTCTATGTCGGCCTCATCCTCTTCCTCCTCAGGCGCGTCGGTATCCATGTCAGAGACCATGGGCCCTGAGATGTATCCATAGGTATGGGGTGGGGAGATGGGCCTTGGAGGGGGTGGAGGACTCACGGGTTGACGTCTGCACAAAAATACAAGGGAAGAATTGAAGTCACTTAACACAGTCAGAGGAAATAGGAGACTGATGAAAACACTTTTTTTATTTCCCAACAAGCGTGACTTGCCTTTTTAAATCACCAGAATTTATAACTGAAAGAGTCAGCACTGTTTGCCTTTTAGTTATTATTTTTGCTGTAAATCAGAATGGACAGTTATTTAGTTTGATATCTACCACAAAGACATCTGAATATGGTTCCCTTATCACTGATTTTAATGAAAATGGGCTTATTTTGCATAAAGTTGTTCAATTTCCCTAAGGTAGTACATGTGCAAACTAGGCAAAGAGGTGGTTACAGATCATGTGACCATTAAAAAAATTATTTGTGTACCCTTGAGAGTATGAGCAAAAGAAATGTCTGTATATCTCTATAAGCTTGGAACTACTGACATCAACAAATGCATCTATCCAAATAAATTGCTCCATGAAAGTTACCTTCCCTCCACCCACCCCAGTGATTCAGAGAGATATGAAAAGAGTGACTTCTATTTCATTATTTTTTAAATTGGTCTAGGTGACAAAATAAAAAAGAATTCTCTACTGTAATGTAAGTTCTTAAGGTTAGGAATGCAAAATGCACACAGAGGCATAGTTAAGTTAATTTCTTTCGATCTTAGTTTGTCAGTAATGGTGTGTCCAGCTTCAAGGGGCAAAGTATTGAATATCATTAGATCTGTGTTCAAGTTCAGTTAATATTTTGCTCAGAAGTCCCAGATTTGTCAACTCTGCTCCCTTATTATCTCACTGAGAAATGACGACTCTTATCAAATAATATTTTATTTTGCATGTGTGACATGCAATTAAAAAAAAATTAGTAACTAGGAATACCTATTAATTTTGGAAGGCAAGAGCAAGTTGGAACCTCTCTGGACTACATCATCTAGCCACTGGTTTTCACTTGCTGTATTAAGCACCGGACAGAATGAAGAACAGGTCATTACAGATATATATTCAATAATCATTTAATAACACCACTTCCCCACTCCCAAATCCCAGAAGACATTGCTGCCTGGGAATCTCTACCTGCTTTGACAAGAGACCTTGCCCAACAAAGTTTTACTGCCTAAATTAAAAGCTCCTGTGGCAATTGTCCTTGTGACATAGTGGCCAGTCTTCGTATTCTCCAGGTTTTAGTATCAGAGGACAGGCAACTGTTTACAAAATACATTAGGGTTCCTGAAAATATAGCTTGGCTGCCAACCTTTGAGGACAGGCTAATTGAGAGCAGCTGGTTCATGGGCATTTAGAATTAACAATACTTCTTTCACTTTATCTGATGCAGTGGTTCTCACTTTCACAGGGACACTGTCCTATCTCAGCTCTCCCTTTAACATTGATAGCATCTGCTATCCCACTAAATCTTTGGGGTTTTTTCTCTCCTTGTTGACTCTTCTAGAGCACAGATTTCCATTTCAGTTTGCTATATTTCTACCAAGCTGACTGGACAGATAAATATTACAGTACACCATCACTACCAGAATCCTATTCCAGATGTCTGGCTCTGATCAGAAATTGAGAAAATATTCAGCAAAACTACAAGTAAAGCTCATGAAAAGCAGGACAAACAGTATGTTAGACATTATTTTCACTGTAAAGCCACCATTTACAAAACTCCTGAAATTAATACAGAGAGACACCACCTGGAATCTATTCTTAATTCCCAAGTATTGTCACACCATTATCAAAACAGAACTGCCCCTTCCAGAACGGGTTACAGCTGCTGAGCACAGTACCCCCAACTCCTACACAGAAGCCACGGGTCATATCAATGCCATTAGATGGAAGAGCTAATCAGTCAAGCCTTACAAATCAAATGAACAGAATGATATGAATATTTTAAAACTGATGAGATGGATATGGCAAAAAGGAAAGAAACGATGTTTGAAAAAAGACAGAAAAGGCAAATTTCACACTTCTGTGGACCAACATACCAAGGTCAATGGAAATTATAGGAAAATATTATTAGCCACCTCCTAATAAAAGGAATGATTTCTAAAGACTCAGGAAGATCGAGGAAAAACTACACAGTACAAGAAGTGTTAACCCAAAGAGTAAAGAAAACAAACCAAGGCAGATCAAGCAGAAGTGGGGAGCAAAAGTAAAAGCAGATATAGGCCCTTTCAAAAAAGATTCGTAACTACTGCTTACTTAAAAAATGGGAAACATTAATGTGAACTAACTTTGCAAACAGACATTCTGGAAAATACATCCATAAATGTCCAGTAAGCTGTGTTAATAAAATCAAAGTTCTACAGTCTACTCAGCAAGATCAAATTAATGTCATCACAATAGGTCTGATTTTCACTAAAAACAGAAACTGTAGATGGAATATTGAAGGTAAGTTTATATATTTGTGATAACAAACAATGTGTGCAAAGCACTGGAGGAAAAAACAATAAAAGAGACATAATTTGGGACAGAAATGATGTGCCTTCTTTAAATAAAGCAAGACAAGCATCATACATAAAAAGCCTCATTCAAAATTCACTGTTTTATGGAAGAGAAGCTGTGAGTGTATACGCAAAATAGTTTGTACTAAAAGCAACTCAGAGAAGAAACAAAATTTCCCCGTAACAAATATCTATCTTTATTAATGTCGGTCATTCCTTTAAATAAGGGTAGATGGAAATGTTAAGAAAATTTTGCAAGCTGTAATTTCCTGGTTTAGGATTTACGAGAGGAGGAAAATCTATAGGTTATATAAATTATATATTTATATATATTCATACGTATTGGTGACAAGTTAATTGCACAGTTACTGTGAAATAATGCATGCTATTTTATGGTAATAATGCAGTAAATCTATTGGAAACAATGGAACTGTAATTATATGGTAAGCTGTGTTAACGATACCACTTTAATATCCTGATGACTGTGAATTTAACTTATGTCAGCACCGTACGTACCCTGAAGTGATATACTGCATTTCTTTCCACGGTATGATAATAAAGCAACTTAATTACCTATTTCTTAGCTCAAAATAGCTCTAGCATCCTGGACTAGAACTTAAAGATCCACAGAATAAACATCCAGGGGGAAAATCTTGCCCTCACTGAATTCAACAGGAGTTTTCAGTGGGGGCTAGGATGACTCTCATCGCTACGTTTGCATTCACACACCTCCGGTCAGGTTGGTGTTGGGTGTGTCCCAGCTCCTCCTGACAGTCCTGTAACATGGGCTGGAGCTCTTCCTGGGGAGAGGGGGTGAGAGTGGCAGTTGACTGGTGGCTGTAGGAGACAGCGGCTGGAGAGGAGGCTGCCCCTCGGACAGGTGGAGTAGGACCTCGCTCATCTTCTTCCTCTTCCTCTAGCTCATCCTGCTGCAGATACATCCTTGCGGGTGGGACGGGACAAGGGATTTCTTGGTCATAACTAAAATTAAGTTTTTAAGAAAATAAGGACTTAAAATTTGTACTGTGTAGTTAGCATATCGGTTACACGTATAAATAGCCCAGAAACAAATCACTGTTCCACGTGCTCTTGAAAACAGCTTAGTAAGGATGCCCTGAGTGGATGTAAACCACTGTCAGGAAGTGCTCTCTAAACAGCCACACCACAGCTAGATGAGCAGCACCAGAATGGTGCTGAAGGAAGGTCTCACTGCCAGCTCGCAGGGCAAATTACAGTTCAATTAACCAGTGATTAAAGTGAGAAATGGATGATGTCTTCATCTTCCTTCCTTACCTTTCATCCACTGAAAGGCTGTAATCTTCACTATTGCTGTGGGGAGGTGGATGTGCTGGAGGGGGTGGAAGAAGATCTGCCCAGTTCATCCCGGCCTGCTTGGGGGCCTTTGGGGTCCGAGCACCCTTCTTGTGCCCTTGACTCCCTGTGAATAAAAAGCAGCACATATTTGTGATGCTTTTAACTCTCTCCTCAGCCCTAGCTATGAGAAACAAAACAACTGCAGCCCCTCCAAGATGCTTTTGTATTCTCTGGGAATTTACTCCTGTGCCGAGTTTGGAGCAAACTGGCATTCCTGCTTTTAACACCAATTTCTACTTGTTGCTTCTTTGCAGAATTGGTCTACATTTCAAATGGTTGAATTTAATCAGAAACTTTACATAACATGGAAAAAAGCACACAGGATACTAAACTTTAATTGTCAATAAATAGACAAAATGCGATAAAACCGTAAATGAATTTTACAAGCAATGTCATTAAGAGTGAGCTTCCTACTTCTATTAATTACATTACAGATTATCATCTAAAACAAATGAGCTGTAGACATATTTTCTAAAGTGCCTTTATAGTATTTAATTGCCAGAACCTAATATACAATATTATACAGATATGATCTATTAAAGTTCCACTGTTGCATTAAGGCACTGAATATATGTAATTTGTACTTGTCCACTGAAACATTTTAGGCACAATGAAATTACTACTTTTAGTCTAAATGGCAGGTGCAGTTGAAAATAATTGCTGGAAGAACTAAAATAACAGAAGGAAAAAAAAGAGAAAGATTGATGAAGTATTTCACAAATGTTTTCAACTGCTATTACTGGAAAATTACAGCTCATAATAAAGCAACACAGTTTTAACAGTTCAAATAACTTTGAATAGGCCAATTATTCAGGTGGCCTTGAATTTTAAGTTTGGACATGGCTATGGTGAGAACTGACTCAACCACTGTTCCTTAATATATATTTTAATTCTTCTTTGTTAGTGTTACTCCTTTATTGTAGATAAAGCGAGCGATTTTGAGTATTTTTAGAATCCTTCACATTTCTCTCTTAAACTGAAGCATGATTTTATATTCCCAGAGTTAAGCCTTATGCACATGATGAAATATGTTGCAGTGAGATTTAGGAAGCCTGTTTTTCTCACTTCTGCTGTCTCAGATTTTCCACTCTTAGAGACAGTAGTTCAGTCCCACATCAGCTGCCGGATACACGTTTTTGGGTACGTACAATTATTTTTCTGGTATCTCAGTGTATCAAGCAAGACCCTATAACTATCCCAAGGCGACCATCACCTGCATTGCCTCCCCTAAGCACCATGATATATACTGGGATCAGCACAATTGATTTATTACTCTGGTCACCTTGCTTCATTCCTGTTGGGAGTCCCTCGTATGGGACTGTAAATTGTCAGACTTCTGAATAACCCTAATAGGCATCAGCCACGGGGAATGCCACCTTCTCATCTTTAATTTGCATGGGTTCATACCCCTGAGATGCTCCACACTGAATTTCAAGTCTTAATGACATTGAGCACTGGCTCAGCACCATATCCAGATGTTGTGGAACCCAGGAACAGGCAAATGGCTGTCTCCCAGAACAACAGCCCTGAGCAGCTGGGAGAACTGGGAGCTCTGCTTATCCCACCCCAGGCACTGGGAATTCAGAGGCACAGCAGGCTCATCAGCGTATTTATGTCTCTGCTGTTCCTCAGTCACAATCAGTCAAAACAGAGCACAGGTTAGGACTGAGGGAACTGGACTATCAAAGGCAACAGCAGAACAGAATGTGAAAAGTCCTTGTCTTGATGAGTAGATGTAAAGTCCAGGGCAGAAGTGACTGTGACCACAGCTCACCTCATAACTGGTTTGATGTAAATAAACACAGTCTCAGACTTACAGCAAAGCCCCAAACCAAGCCTGTGCATAGTTTCTGGTTTAGCTCTGAATATTTCATATAGCTCTACTAGAAATCAAACCAGAAAGTGAACAGGTTATACCACAATGACAAGAGTAATTTTTGAATTAAACCATATTCTGTGGTTCCAAAGCACAGAGTACAATTTCAGAGGCCAGGTCAGCATTCTCCAGCACTAAAAAGCTGTTTTGTTTCGACATTTTCACAAAGGATTTTTAGACAGTTTGTATAGGAGATAACACTAAGAAACAAAATGTAACTTTAATTATCTACTGCCTACATCTGAATGATGTACAAGAATAATTTTGACATGGAGCAACTGAACTCTATTGAATTCTTTTACTCAAAGAAAATGCATGGGTTTAATTTATAAAATTAAAAATTTCTTAAAGCAGTTCTGTCAGGTATCAATTAAAAGCTCTGGTATCTTGAGCCTGTTCATGAATAAGGTTGCCTTGGGTGAGTAGACCCAAAATACTCTTCTTTATCTTTTTATGGAGTTGAAAAGGAATTTCTATGATTTGCCCATCTGGAGACCATAACATTAACAGGTAGTGTATTAACATTAGGAAATCCAACCTCTATTTGATTTCATGACTTTCACAGTTCTGGACAGTCAATTACTTAACTGACATTTAGATGACACTAATCATGAGGATGCTACAGAAATATGAGAACCTACTGGGCCAGTTTTCGTGCTGTTTTACTGTCAGTTGGCTCCTCCTCCTCATTCCTTCTCTAAGCCCAGCAGACAATGCTAACCACAGCTACAGTCTCCCAATCCCACAAAGCCTAAGGTTTGGAAAATGCCGTAGATACTCACCAGATGTGCTGCTGCCTCTGTCCGAGCTGTTGTAGGATCCACCTGTATTCTGGTCGTACGATTGGTTGTAGGGAATAGTTGGAGCTATGTTGTCATTTACTCGGTAATCTGCAAGTTCAACGGTATAATTAATGCTACCCTTCAGAAACATATCTATGTACCTGCTTTATAACACAAAGAAAGATCTCCTCAAAATAGTGAGGAAGAAACAAACCCTTTTTTTTTTTAGTAAGCCAAATGATCCTACCATCATGTCTTATTTTTAATTTGTCTCTAATTGTAAGCTTAAGGAATAGCATGGGAACCTAGTAGCTCCATGTCTAAAATGGAGTAAAATGAAATCCTACACACAGGGTTTTCACAAAGCCTCTGCAACAATCAAGTTTCAGTGTGTATATATCTATCTATACACACACATGACCTGTGTGAACATTTTGCATACAAATACACTGTCACCTGGACTGATTTTCCACGGTTTCTGCCTAATTTATACATGCAGGGCAACCAATGGACTGTGGTATCTACTTTTCGTATTTCAAAGGTGACAAACCCACATAGGAGCCAGCCCTGTACGACAAGGCTGAATGATCTGCTGAAGCAACAGTGCAGCTCCACTGAATTTGATTTGCAACAGAAGAGATCTTTGTTTCAGGTCTGTTGATTCCAAGAAGATTTCTATTTACACTGGATCATGCAGGTCCTATAGGTAGGGCCTTTTCCCACTAGCGGCTGTAACTATAACTTTTTTCTCCAGTTCCAAAGCACTTGATACATATGTATTACTTTAAAACCTAGATTTGGCAACCAGATCTGTAAAAATTTATCAGAAGTAAAATACTCATCTGGCAGAGCAATACTCTCACGCTAAGAAGGAATTATAATTTACAGCGAACAGAAAGGAGCTGAGTTACTCTTCATACGGCAAATAAAACTGCGTCACAAACAGAACCACTGGACATAAAATAGTGACAATGAAGCACAGCATGTAACCCATCAAAACAGTTATTTCCCTTCACAAAAGCTATAGGTATAATCAGCAGCAAGATGGCTTTGACTTAGAAAATGAGAAAACCAAGATCAGAATACTGACACATAAAAAAGCAAATCAAAACAAAACCAAACAAAACTAAGAATTCTGTCCCCATCTGCTGCAGAAATGTTTGTGATAATGTAAGCATGGGGAAAAAGAGCAAAATGATAAATTCCACACCAGAGTGTATTCTGTAATAGTTTCTCAGCCTAGTTGCATTCCACAGACCATGCTGAAGCCCTACATACCACATATGTTTATAAGCAGTAAATCAGCACTCTGAAACATGTATATAGGACTGTCAGCAGACAATACTTTAAGGGGGCCTTTCCACACTACAATATGCTAGAGAATATGCAGCTGTAGTATACACAGTTTGAAAGATGCAGTGTCTTCCAGCGCATAAAAATCAAACTTGTTTTAATTCCCAGGCAGATACGTAACACACAGTTCACGGAAGAAAACAATTACAAAAAATACAGCTTCCACCCTCTAGCAAGGAGCCAAACCCCCTGAATTTTCTTTTGGCATGTTTATGCCAAGGGAAGGTGCCACATTTTGTATTGCCCTTTGAACTCCTCTGTGAGTAGATGGGTCCGGCAGAGAAATCAACATTCCTGTAAGGAAAGTTTTCTTTTTACTGGATCACTTATCACTATGCCATCACTTGAGTTACAACAATCCATGCAAAAAGTTCCAAGTTAGAATGGGTCCAGTTCCCAGGGATACTGTTTTGCAAATCAGGTTATTAAAAGAGGTTGTTGCATGGTAGCCTGGAGGACTAGCAAGAAATCGCATACCTATTTCTTCCAACTCCCACGCAGTGTATTAAAGAAACCTGCCCTCAAGCACACAAAGGCCCCTTCTGATGTTTCCCGTTAACACTGAAATCAATTTATTTTTAGCTTCTGGATCCACAGACTTCAGTCAGGGTAACACAGGAATTTATTTTCCAAAACTGTGTGGTAGCATTGCCTCTCAATACAAGAATCAAAGGCTTGCTAGGAACATGTCTAAAATGAATCGGATCACTCCATCTGTGTCCCCAGTGTACAACACAACACAATTTTGCGGAGTTTGATATGCAAAATTTCATTCGTTTACATGAACATGTAGATTTAATTAGTCTCCATCCACGACTGGGAAGAGTGGGTTGACCTATTTAAAATTTAAGGTAGAGTATAATGCGACTACCATGCATCTGGCTTATGAATAAAATATCTGGCCTCTGTCCTAACCAATCCCTTAACTACTATTAAATTTAAATTAATCTCATATCCATAGGAAACGTATTTTATTTAACTCTTCTCTAAAGATATAGCTTGTTATTTTTTTCAATAAATTCAATATCTGAAGGTTATTGTGGTGCTAATTAACTTTCTGACACTGCTAGCTGTGGATTTCTAAATCTAAAGAGGCAGAAGTCTAAAAGCACCACAGAAGCCTGTAATTGCTGAACCTGAAAGCTTCAGACTCCCAGCACCAGAAGGTCAAAGCTCCTCCAATGCCTAAAGAGGAGAAACAAGCTAAAAGCTCTTCACCTTTGTTTAATTTGTTTTGCTCCATAATGTTGTACTGAATGGGTGGAACCTCTTGCTTTTGCTGAACAGGGGGTTTCCAGTGTTTCTCATTCGTGTCCCCGCTGCCATTGTTAACATTATTGCTGATATTTGACTGGATGAGCTGAGTGGTGGCATAAGGAGTGGGCTGCCCAGGCTGGCTGACAAATCTTCCGTCCTTTAGATTTGGACTATTGAAGGTTTTCATCTCATTCATTTTGTTGCTGAGGTCCACGTCCCCATACACAGTTGACTCAGGCAACATCAGGTTTGTCTGCTTGTTGTCCAGCTGATTGTTGTAATTTGCTATACAATCGGCTAACCACAGAGGAGAGAAAAGAGAAAAGGTCATTCTGTTCGCTTACACTGTACTTTCAATGAAACCCCCTTTAAAATTTCTCTTTTAGTGCACAACCATATGGCTCGCATCCACTAAGCAGAGAGACTGCCATTTACTAAATAATTTACAGAACATTATTTACCTTATAAACTACTGCTCCAAAAGCAGGGTTCACTGCTTCGTTTCACTGTAAATTCAGACCTTCTGAATTGCATCTACAATGACTTACCTTGCTGGGCTTTTCTACAGGAGCCACAGAAACATGCACATTTTTAGGCATTATCCTCAAAGCAGCATAGATATTCAATTAATAATTGTGATTAAAGTAATTTGCAATGCAGGGAGAAATTACCAAAACTTAATAGTGGGAATAACTAAACAGTGACAGTCACCTCATGACACCTGAACAGCATTTAGACGTTCTTGTATTTGTGATAAGAAATAGAGATACACAGAATTTTATAAAACAGAGTGAAAAATGATTACACATAACAGAGTCAAAGAAAAACAGTACAATGTAAAAGGTAACTCTGTACCCAGTAGCAAGTCTTTATTTGATCATCGTTTCCTTGTACAGTCTTATATTTGATTTGAAACAAAAGAAAAAAAAAAAACAATCTGGAATTTTTGTTAATTTTTAGTCGCTTTGGATATCGCAAAATACTTAATACCACAGTAATACCATTGCCCTGTATGCTAAAGATATATCAAAAAAGACAGCAATGAATTCCTTCTTCTAAGAGTTTACTGCATCATGAGATCACCACTTATAGCAGAGAGTAAATTAGACGTGTGCTGATGCTCTGGACACTCCTGCATGAAACAGTGTCCCTGCCTTCCCACGTTCTCTCGCCTCTGCGTGACAGCAGATCCACATATTTTTTTCCTCTCCTCATTCAGTCCACTGGGAGAATACTGAATGGAGTATAACAGTCTGTGGGTCAGCAGTTACAAGGCTTAGTGAATCTAGCATTCAATGATCCTTAAGCAGAAATTCTCATTTTCCACTTGATTAATTCATCAATAATTACATAACACTCACCAGGAATATACTTTTTCTCTTTTAAAAGATGTGGTATTTATGCTAATGAATTTGATTCAAAGCCTGAAGTCCATTACCTGTGACCACAATGAATTTACTGGAGAGGATGTCAAGTAAAACTACGTCAAAAAAGCAAGATTTTACCATTACTCTAAATGAAATAACTAGTAAACACAGAGGATGTTCAGTTTCAAAAATATTCCCTAATACATACATATTTTTGAGGAATATTTCCTGAGAAAGAGATATGACGATAAAACCCACTGATCCACATTTTCAGTGACTAAAGAACAATATCACAGCATGCCACAGAGAGCTTATCACCGTACACTTCATACCCTCCAGCCTGTGCTTCCTTGAAGGTTTTTCTGGTTTGATACATTTTTCTTTATTTTGATATATTTTTCTTTCTTACGTGAGATGTTATTTATTGCTTCTGTTATTTATTGCTTCACAGTCTTCAACTTCTTGACTTCTACCGTTTAAATGTTTTCATTTCTGCTTTTTCTTTCACCTAGTGAATTATATTCTATAATATAACAGTCACTTATACATTTTACCTCCTTCCATTTGCAGCTACCTCTGATTTCTGTGTAAGGCAATATAATCAATACAGTATGTGCAGTAGGTACATTTTTTTTTTTTTTTTACATAGACACATTAGAATTGCTCAAACAAAGTACTTAAAACTCATTTACCTACGTAACAGAAAATTTATTCTGTTAGATTTTTTTCATAACATTAACTTTCGGAGCAATCTGTTCCCACTCTCTAGACTTGGAAGACTTAAAAGCAATTAAAAATGCAGTCACTTAGCATATTCACAGCTATAGAGGGGATATCCATCGCTGTTGCTTCAGAGCATAAACCAAGCCCAAGCTGACAGAATTAAAAACACTTGTCAGATTTTCCAGGACAGAAGAGACCCTTATGAACATGTTTTCTGACTCCCAAGCTCAAAAGTTCTACTTTGAAAGGAAGGATTCCCTTTGCAACACAACCAAGCTTAGCATGAAAGTCAAAATGAGGAAGAATCCACTGCAGCTCATTACAGGATGTTATAATAGTTTTCAACCCCCAAAAATGTGCGTTCTCTTCCTTTCCTGAATGTGTTAAGTTTCAGTAACTAGAATTTGCTTTGTCTGTCCTTGCCACAGTGCAGTATCCCTGGACCAGAAATCTTTTTTACACAGGTAGTGGTGGATGTGACGTCCTCAGGCAGAGTGAGATCCAAGTCTCTAATGTCAAAATCTCTCCTCTGAAGAACCTGGCACTGGTCACTGCCAGACAGCATTATTGCAGGAGATGAATTACCATTACCACCATCCATGAATTACCAGCCATTAGAGCTGGTTTCACATTAATTACAGGAGGTAATGCTGCTTTGCACTTATGCAACTTCACTACAGGTGATCATACTCCCTTCTCTGAAATGCTGGGACATGCTGCAAGCCAAAACCAGCCAGAGATGGTGGTACTGGAAAAGATCTATTTCATTCCTCACTAGTAACACAAACTGGGTTAAAACAAAAGGAACCTAGGGTGTGTTTAAAAGAAAATGTGCAACAATTAGCACTTCAGGATGTATTTCCCCAGCAGTGTTCCCATGGAACTCATGAGATTTTCTCTAAGTGCACTGAGTCTGTCCAACCTCCCAGGAGCTACCACTTAAAAACCCAACATGTTGTAATTGCTTTTAGGGTGTGACGTTAACTTTCTTATCCACACACCCTAACCAGAACACCAGCTATCCACTTTTGTACGGAATGGCTCTCCAAGGAAAGTTCTGAATGTGCCAAAATAGACTGCCTTTGCTGCAAGTACTGTAGCAATGTTTTATTTCTTGCTTCCCATCACCCCCAAACCAAAAGGAAAATCTTGTTAGTGTCATTTCAGTACTTCTCCTTTCTGCATCCAATCAACAAGGAAGTACAGAGCAACCTAAAAATGACCTCATCTGCCCTTTTCAGAGGCTGAAACATGTCAGCTCAGTGTGACTTCTGGTAGCAGTGAACTTTGCAGGGACTCCCTCAGCCTACAGCTTTCTAAAACTTTCTAAAGGGGACCAAAAACAGATGCAAAAGGGGACCAAAAGCACAATCATGACACAGAGCAGAAACTCTATTAAGTCTAAATGCATTGGAAATAAAAAGCAGACAAACCTGTACTCTTTCTCAGGTTTTAGAAGAATATACTCTGTAAAGAAGATCCCTTAGCAAGGTAGAAACATATCTAACCTGGTCGACTGTACGTTGTGAGGTTGCTATCACTGTTTCCATTGCCAGAGGTGCAGCAGTTGATGGAGCAGTCATTGTGATTGTTCCCTGTGTTAGGCCAAGTATCTGCTAGCCATGGCTGAGTGGCTGGTTCACTGATGTTTAGGAGTCCTGGCCTTTAAAAACAAAGCTTGGTCATTTCAAAAATTAAACAAAAGCATTTCCCCATAGCAGTTACACTCTTCTCGAAAGGTTAGATATTACAAAATAATTTCACATGTCTAAAGGTTTTGGCCTTTGGAAAATGCATTGGAAAATGCAGACTGAATCAATTATTTAACAGTTTCTAGTCTCTTATATAACCTAGTCCTTGCTAAAAAGCTAAAGAGAACAGCTAAGGACAACACCTGTTCATGCTGCTGAACTACATATGTATATTGGTGTGCAACCTTTACCTGTCACTTTGGATTTAAGTTTTTTTTAAAATTCTTTTTCTTGGAAGATTGTATTTTTATTTTTCTGCCCCTTCACACTTTCTTTAAGAAAGTAAGGAAATTGGCAAGTCAAACAAACAAAAGATTCACACATGGAAGCAAGATGGATATGGATAAATAAGAGCCAAATTTGGCTGTGAATAGTCCCAAATTCTTGGTGATTTATGGAGCCAAGTTTTCTCACCATTAGACAGTATTACTGTAGTGGATCAAAGGGAACAGGAGATAACAGAAACCTCTGTGGCTGGGAGCATTTGGATCTCACTAACCATACTGAGTGGGTGATACACCCTTGCTAAGGAGTACGCCACTCTCTTAATCTTTGTGTGAGTGGAACAGCAGCAGCTCCTAAGAAAGTTTAAAGTAGCTGGGAATACTTAACAGCTTAAAAAAATCCAGATATGAATGCTGCTTACTGCCTGCATTTGGAATAAAGCATGTTCTGTCATCAGCAGAAAGAAACAGCATTTCTTGTTTTCCAAGTTGCTGAATTTTTCTAGTGAGTGCTGAACATTTCTGATGAATGTTCTGTAGAATCTTTGGTGCCTCTGAAGTTTTCACGCTAAAAATGCAGTGGATGTTACAGTCCCACATAAATAGCACCCCGATACAGTTTAAAATTGCCTTTGATAACTAAGGTGCTTTTAAAAATAGACAGTTTTACCCACTGTCATATATATCTATACAGATAGATACATATATATAGACACATATAAATAACACAGTCTCTTTCTCACAGGATTTAACGGGCAACTTTCCATTTAAAATAGTGCAGAAACTAGTTTCCATAATATTAAAAGTGATGATCTTCAAAAATAAAATATGCTAATCCTCTTAAACAGTAAGTTGAGAATGTAAACTGCATGCAGTTAGTTGTGGGGGATAGAGTCTGTCAGTGCTGCAGGCTGAAGTCATAGTCTTAGAATGCCATTTAGGAGTTCTATACATATATGCGTGTATATATATATATATTTCTGTACCGCATATGTCATCTGACAATTTACCATAGGAGGTGATGAGGCTTGACTTGCTGTCAGGTTTACAAACCAGCCAATGCACGTACAGTAAAGAAGTATTTTTTTAAAAAATCTGAAATAAATACAGGGCTCTGAAGGCCTGCTGCTTTGAAATACCCTGCTTTTTTTTCCCCCTACCATTCTGTTCTTAGAGGAGACAAAGCATTCAAAAATGTTTCAGCACTTTAAAAAGACCCGTGATTTTTGGAGAGAGAGTTAAAGATCCTTTGTTTCTAAAATTTACTTTGCATTCACACCTGCTGTCATGTAAGGAATTTGGTGTGAGGTATATAAGTAGAGGAGGATTCTACCAAATGGAGCCATTTAGGTGGGACTGTAGGCAAGAGATGCTTGCGTGGTGACGATTTGAGAGTAAAATTTCCAAAAATTTTTAACCCTGGCAACAAATTCCTTGAATCCCTGAATTTCTGTACGGGGTCTGAGTAACAGTGGACCGAGCAAGTGGCTGTGTGGATGCCTAGATGCCGGCTGGAGTCAATCCACCACAATTACCATTACTCAAATCCTGTCTAGAAAAGGGATTGCTACAGAAATAGGTATTTTTTTCAGCATCACAGAAGTGGGGATTATGTTGAAATATATCACTGTGACATTCTGAATTCTGAAAAATGCTTTCACGTGCTCACATAACCGCACTTGGCAAAAATGCTAAACCTTTCCAAAACACCGCATATATAAAGTAAGGAAGTCAGAACCTTAGGTTTGAAAGTCAGATGGAGATTTCACATGCAAAAATAACGTTTTTTTTTCTTTTTTTTTTAAACATTGCAGAAGTATGTTTCATATTCTACAAAATAAGACACATCATACATGCTGTAAATGCTATATATGCAAACATCCAAACCCAGCACAATGTCAGCACCTTGAATCAACTACACTGCTGGATTATGGCACTGCTGTTGAAAACTAGGACAGTAAAATTGATGCTGCTTCCCTAGCACTACCAAAATGACTGTACATGATGTAGACACTTCTGGGTTCATTTCTGTCCTCTGAGTCTGTATGAGTGTGCTTTGTCTAGCTTGTGTTGTGGGAAGAGCAAGAAAGCACAGTGGCACAAAGAACACAAAGGCTGTTAACTGTGTATCTTCTTGAACAACCTCGTCAGGGAAAGAGAGGGTTCATCTCTGTTCTCTCATATTTTCTCACTATCCTGGAGTGAAGGCAGAAGCCCAGTGATTTACAGATTTATCCATTCAAAAACCACATGGTAACTGTTTTAGGTTTCCCTCCATGCATTTATGGCCACAACAAAGCAGCAGCATCCAGTGTTGGACAAGAGATATCTGCAATTGCCCTTACCATGCGAGGTTCAGCTGCAGCAGGAGCTGAGTGGCCTCACCTCTGCACAGCATTCAGTTAAACTGGGAATGTTTTATTTTATGCCTAATCTTCACAATTACCAATTTTTTTTTTTGCACGGTCTTGCAAATCAGGAACCACAAGGTGCCACTTGTGAAACAGGAATTGATACAGGAATTTGTTGCCCCAGCTGGTCTCCGAGATTTTAGTGTTTATTTCAGCATCATGCCAAATCTTTAAGTGAGATGCTTCTAAAAAGGCATGTTTGAACGTGACCTAGAAAAAAAGTGGTGTGCTACTAAAGCTACACTGCTTTGACCTGCCTTTTTCGAAAACCTATATTTCTAACTCCACCTCCACGCAGGAAATATAAGTACTGTTTTGACCATTGCCAGTAATAACATAAACCCAGTTAAATCCTCAGTTTGGAATGGGCCAGGTTCTCAGAGTGGGGGGCTGTAAATTGAAAACCTACCTGTTTCCCTCTCCTTCAGTGCCCCGTCTCTTGTAAGCAATGCTGTAACTATTTTGCATTCATAGAAAGATTTTCTCCTAAAATGTCACCTTATAAGCCGGTTATGTCTTCAGCATTTTTTTCCAATAAACGTTTTCTTTCTTTGTAGTATTTGTGAAACAGCTATATTTCTTAATCTTCATAAATGCCACGACTTAATTACTTTTACTCCCTTAATCAGGTGGTAAACCAGGTCTTCATTTCAAAGTTAAAGCGCTCCCTCTGCTGCTCATTTTTTGAGATGCAGTTTTTGCAGGATAACAAAGCCTAAAGTATTTCAACTAATTTTTAGGAAGTCAACCTAAAAATTCAAACCATCTACCCTCCTTCTAAACAGAAAAACAGATGGCTGCAATATATAAATTAATATAACAAACTAAAACAGAGCTTTGCAAGTGATTATTCTGCCATCACTTATAAGGACAATTGTACTCCCGGCATCTTTAAATTTAGTTGCACAAGATTTATACCTTTAAGAATAAAGGACATAATTACCTGCCTCCACTGCTTACGGCCTCTCCTCCTCTCTGATACGTTACTGAAATAGTTAAAGATTAAAAAAAAAAAAGAAATAATTTTAAAATCATAAGACTCCTGAAATAGCAGTATTACATTTGCCTTTGTTTAAGACAATAAATGTGCATTGTTCATACATTAATTCTAGGTCTCATTTTGCCAGCTATGGCTTCAAATCAAAGTTTATACATAATATTTGTGATGCTTACTAACTGCTAGTCTTAGCCCCAACAGGGTTTTGCATTTCAGTTCTGTTCCACACACACACACACACACACACACACACATGAATTGCTTAAGAAAGCAGGAAGCCATACATCAGGTTGAACATAACTCTGCTGACTTCAGTGGAGTTACTCCGTGGAAGAATTTAGGTCATATATTTATTTCATGAATGGCTAGATGTTAAAGCTTTGCTCTACCTTATTATTTTGGCATGATTAAAGAGGTATCATGACTCTATAACAGACCTTACTTCCAGTGTAAACAATGGCTCATTACAGCTGAAGCTACTGCAAAAACACATTCACTTTCTGAACGCTACTGCACTACACTCAGAGAACAAGCACACTCTAAAAGTCCACAGAAGCTTCACGTTTTATAACATTTTACAGGTGGATTTATAAACAATACATTCTAATCTAAAAATTTAAATGTGCGAATTTTGGTAAAAAAAAACCAAACAACATCTGGCAGAAAGAATACTCTGTAAGTTAGAATTAATGATTTTGTTGGCATTTCAGAAGCATTCTGCATTAACAAAGTGGATGTCTACATGCCACTGTTCATCCTTCACAGGAAGCATGATGTTTGAAAAGTTCATTTTTAGGAGGCAAACATCCAAGAAGAAACAGTGCTATTAATTCTGCAGGTTTGCACTGGGTTTGGCAAAGGGTAAAGGAGATTTCCTCCCTGCAAATGCTGATGGATTCTACGCTTTCCAACTAGGAATGTGTTGAAAACAAGCAGCCAAATTCTGCTGTTTAGTAGAACTCCAAACTGGGAGTCTGCATGAGAGAGATAAATGCTGGCAGAGATTACAGTAACAGGATTAAAACGTAGGATGCATTCCTACAGGTAAGTCTTTTACTATAGGTAATGCCAAAGAGGAGGGTCTGGTTCCATTTCAAGTCAAAGGAACAAATGACTGAGATTGTGGATTGAAAAAAAACCCAATTTTTTTTCCCTTTTAACGTTTTACACATTTTACGTTTTTTGCAATCTCTTCTTTAAAAATCTCAGGGCTATTTATTTTGCAGCTCTGACGTATCTTAAGGAGCCCTGATATTTTCTTTTTATGTTAAGGATTCAACTGAGAAAACACACGTTAGCTAACCTGCCAACCTCAGTAGTGTGCTACAATTGAGACTGAGATAGAAGCTCTCTGTTAAGCCAATTAAAGTAACAGCAAAATAACAACAGTTTGAATTAAGCCTGCACCGTGGATCTCAAAGGCCTCCAGAAATATTAAGGGCCACTCTAAATTGTGGTGAACAGGAAGCAACTCCACTGAGTGTAACAGGATGACTTTTGAAACAAGGTACTACCCGGATTGAGGAAAAGCCCTTGGATAAGAATCAAACTCAGTACAGTTTGCTCAGTGGGGATGAGAACAGACAGACACGAGTTTGCTTTGTCTGCAGCCCAACTTGAAGGACGTAACTCAGCTGCTGCACAGAGGCCAAATTAGTCCAGTGCTGATAATGGGCTAATATGCCCTGCTAACCTGAGTGTGCAGGGGAGGGGGTAGGAGGTTTTTACCCTGCCTGGGTATCCACATCCTCCAAGTCTTACAGACCTCCTGTGAAAATAAAGGGTTTAGAACACTGGAGGAAGAAACAACCTGTCTGTTCACTCAGGCTGTAGCTACAAGAAATGCAGTATATACCAGTGGCTACTGGATGTGTTGAACTCTACTGCAGAGGATGAGCTGCTCAGCTGCCAGACTGTGGGACCGACCCACTGAAGGTCAGCTCTACAGAACAGAAAGGCTCTCATGGACTTGGGTGGGCTGTGGTTTGGATTGTATCATGTTTACACACTTCCAAACAAAAGGAAATAGAAAATGATTGTAAACATGCACTGAATTTTAAATGCACCTCTGTTTAAGCAGAACAGGGTAATTTTTTAGAAATTTCATAGCACAAATATGGTTTAAGGCAGCAGGCAAAGAAATCCAACAGCTATAACACTTTGATTTTCCGTGTCTTCTAAAGTAGACAACTCCTAGGTCACTGGATTAAGGCAGATTCAGAGGAAAAAAAAAAGGAGCAAATGTTTCACCAAGTATAATCCCACTGAATCCCTTTCAAGTCAGCATCTGGGCCCTGCTAAGTCATTCCTCCTCCATCAGAAGCACCTTTTTCATCCCTAGATGCAGGAGGCCACACTACTCCATTGTAATACCCACGAAGAGAGCCCAGGCTGTACAAGCTGACAAGATCATGCTACAAAATGGCATGCTGGCAGGGAATGGTACGCTACAAAATGGTACACACAAACAGGAAAAAAACTGTCAGCCTCAAAGCAAATACACGCTACTCAGAGAACAAATAATGATAGCTGTCATTAATGGAACTGTTCAAGGAAACCCTTCAGAACAGCTGGGCTGGTTGGTTATGTCAGAAAAAAAGAGAAACAGTACCACAAACACATGCTTAAGTAACAAAGAAGGGGGGAAAAGTGCAAATATATACCTGTTGGTGTGAAGGTAAAAGACGGGACTGAAAAATCAAAACAAAATACAAACTGGTTATTAAGCTGAAGAGAGAAAGGGAAACATACCACATTAGTATAAACCTAGCAGACAGCTGAACATAAAACAAATGTATATAACTAACCCAGTAGTTCAGTCACACCGATATAAAAATAAAATTAAAACTGCAATTCAGAAAGAAGCTTGTCTCTGCAGGTACTACTCTGAAGAGGAAAAAAGAAAAAGCTTGATATTCTATTGTGCTCCTGAGGAGACCTGATTGTGGTTTAGCCTTTCAAATCCCTCTCAGTTTGGTATTTTAAGTCTTTTTTTTTTTTTTTTCTGAAAATCCTAGCACAAACAAAACCCCCACACTGTTAATCATTTTAGAATGCAGAATGACAAATTCCTTAACAAAGCCTTATCAAGGTCCTATTGAATCTTATCTGCAGTTCACTAAGTAAATGCTCATTACGCTGAACTAATAGGCACACTTAAGTATTCAGTAAGGAAATAATAATCATAAAAAGGAACAAAGAGAACTGCTGTTTCACTGTCTCTGAGTCAAGAATGGCACCAACTCTCCCTGCAATAAAGGCACTAAAATCTATTGCAGTAATTAATTTTTGTTTTCATAGATGAGACCCTCGAACAGAGTTTTTCTTTCTTTCTTTCATAAATAATCACAAAAAAAGGAGCAGAATATCTCCCTAGATGTAACACCTTTCTACCTTTCAACCCTTGGCTTTAAGAGGGAAAGGTTAACGACGGAACAATGACATTGCTTGACAATCTTCTCTCTCACAGCTACTATAAATCCTCTTTGGATCAATAGGGTCTCTAATCCAAATACAGAGCACCAGCATCTGCTCTTCCTATTAGCACATGCTCCCCCTCCTGTTGACAAGACAGTATAGTTTCCCTACCACTGATGGGCAGAATAAGGCTAACACTGCCCTTTTTCTATCTAGGGACAAGAGAAAGGTAAGAAAAACAGTAAAATATTCGCTTAAATAGCCTTGAGACGGAATTTGATCAGCAAACCTGGTACAGAAAGAAAAGGTTCTGTCTAAGAGAAGGACTTCTTAAAGTAATTTCTGTAACAACTCTGATGTTTGGGGGGAGTTCAGAGTGTCTTGTTATAATCCAGCATATGCTGTAGATTTTCCCTCTTTCACCACGCCAATTTATTTCCAGGGATATGACACTAAGCAAAGAAAGGAAAACCTTGGAGCATTTGCCCATTTCAGGCTGCATTTACAGCAAAGCTCTTTATCTTGGGAATTCCATTGTGTTTTCTTTGGGCTAGGCATTTTCACACAGACAAGTATAATTTAGCTACATTCAAAAATATAGAACCATAGTAACAAGCTTTCATCAAAACAGAAAGGTGCATCTAAACCCCAGCTATTCAAAAGAGAATCAAGAATCTCAAAATTAATTTGCAATCACAAGGATATGGAAAAAAAATCTACTGTCTTGTTACTCTAAGTACTAAATCTAGTTTAGTTTCTTAAGGAACTGAGAAACAGATGAGCAGAGGTTCAACTAAAAGAAATTTTATCACCACCACACGAAAGAACAACTTATTTCTTAGAGCTTCTATTAATAAACTCTTTTGAGTGTGTAAGACTGCTAGTACAGTATGTATGTGTGGGAGTCGTGAAGTATTTTAACAGATGTCAGGCCTGAAGCTAAATATAAAAATAAATAAAGAATTGCAAGACTGAAGAAAGTTTGGGCTTGCAGTTGTGACTTGATGACCTGCAGAGTGGCAAACTACTTCACAATTTATATTTCACTAAAGATTGCTTTTTTTTTCTTGAAGAACACTTGATACTGGAGATACAGACCCTACTTTTCTGCGTACTTTCATTTAAATCCCCACCAAATTACACAAAAGACATTTATGTAGATATTGGGGGTAAAAAAATAAAAAAAGCTGTTTTGAACAATAGCTGATGTCACCAAAGTAACCATTTTCAAGGGCAAATTGTATGCCTTTTGCTTAACCACAGGTACTGCTGAGAGCACAGGGATGTTAGTTGGATAGGACTGTAGGAAGGCAGTGTGGCAGCATGCTGTTAGTAAAACAAAACAGCCCAGGCCAATGCAGCACAACGTGGGAGTCTGTCCTAGCTAAGAAATCCCAGCAGAACAGTGGAACTCCTTCCTGATTCCAGTGGTTACAACTCCACTACAACCACTGTGCCTACAAGTCCACAGTGAGCATTGATACTTAATAAGCAGGGAGGACATCTCAACCCTGCAACACTCCAGAATTATTTCCCTGTTTCCACTCACTCATGTGCTATTTTTAGCACTGCTTCTTTTACACAGCAACACATTGTTACTGTTTATAAATATTTGTGTTAGATTTGCCTATTTTTCTTGCCCGTCACACGTTCACCCTTGAAGGGACCAAAGAATGGAATCTCACGGCACTTTTCGTACATTAAGATGCGTCCCCCTTTTAAGCCTAGGCCTATCTTTTGATTGCTAAATATCAAATATTTTCCTGCCATTCCTCCAAAAGCAGGATCTCTCATTTTCTGATTCATTCCAAATTTTATAGTTCGTGCTCTAGGAGTGCCTATGAGGTACTGCTTTGAGATGTAATGAACTGCAGCTCATTGAGTTCAGCTTCAACTTTGGGGCTTAATCAAAAGATCACTGAATCAGGAGGAATCCAGTTTTTATTCCAGCAGATCTTCCAGGTAGAGATTCTTGCTCTGTTTGTCAGAGAGTATACTGTAAAGCGCTGCTTGTCCACTGACAGCGGGATATGAAAGGTGTCAATAACATGAAATAACATGAAAATGGAGGATGCTTTAAGCTGGCCCCGCTGCTGCCGCTCTAACCAAGTGCAGATGCAGGATGTGACAGCCCCAGAATCCAGTCCCAGCAAAGGGTCTCACAACAGCATTTATGGAAAGAGCCTTGGAAAGCAGACCTGACCGCTGTGCCTCTGCCAACAGCCACTTCACCACATTCCCCCAGAACAGCAGGAACTCCAGGTACACACACCAGAAGCGTTGCTGTGATGTACACCACTGTTAGCGTTCCCAGCAGCAAGCAAAGGGCTGAACAGGAGGGACAACGAACTACCATCCACTTGGCTCCTATTCAGATGGTACAGTGTCAGCCAGCAAGGGCATACTGGAAGCTCCCAGCCCTAAATCCATCTCTACACTTCTCCTTTGCAGGAGTACCTTTATGAAAAGCTGGTCTGGGTATTTTGCTGAAGACTTAGGCTTTAAAGCCATATTTCACACGTTACATAAATTTTACTGCTTTCTGCACTCCCAGTCCACACTTCCTGCAAGTATTGAAGCAATCTGATAATTCCTGATTGGGATCTTAGAAGGACAAGAGACTGATGACCAAGTAAATAGCCAGCAAACAGGCATTCAGCAGCCAGCAGACCGAAACACACAATACGGCACCTTTTCTGATACCAGCGTAAGTACTCGTGAGTCCATTCCGCTTCTTCCTGTGGCGGTACAACCAGATGCTGAAGACCATAAGGATAATCCAACAGGCTGCACCGATTCCAGCAATAAAGGCAGGCTGCTTCACTACATCAGAAATCTGCTGGGCTAAGCTGACTTGATCTTCTGAAGACACAGGGTTTCCATGAGAATCTGAAACAGAGACACACGAAATAGCCAATTAATTTGGATGATCAACTGTAAAAGGCACCATGAAAGGAACTAACATAACTGTAGTCCAGTTTTTCGAGGTCAAATCCTTAAGACTGCTCTTCAAAATCTCTTTTTACAGGTCTAGATAGAAATGCTTTGTTTTTCCTACAAGACAGGTACCTCCAACATCACTGACTTTTGTTTGTTTACAAAACCTGCTAAAATCAGGCTACCAGGCACACAAATAGAAAATTAGGCTCATAAATTACAAACTTTTAGACTGCTCTGTATTTATTTTTTTTTTATTTTAGCAAAGAAATATCAGCTTCATAAAATTATTCAGCAAATCAGCAAAGAATACAGCAAGCAAAAGAAAGCTCAAGCTCAAATCACGAGAAGTAGTGTTATCAGGGCTCTATCAATAGGCAGAAATCAGCTCCTCAAACACCCACTGAAAATCACAGAATAACAAATTCAAACTATATTCACATGAGGTTGGTATTGAGGGATACCTTTTAATCAAGCAGTTCCTGACAGATTACTCAAATCTTGTATTACCAGTCTAATGTACTCTTTGCAGTCTCTCAGTCTCTCACGCTGACCTCAATTAAAAAAAGACTGAATATTTAAAAGGATGTAAAAAAGCAAAAGTATAAAATAACCAATCCTGCTCTCTTGGACATGGATGTAAAAGCTAAAGGATAACTAAAAAATGAACTGGCAAAAAAAGCCAAGCAGCCTCATTAGTACTGAACAAGCAGTGTTTTTCAAAATGAGTTTATCATTAAATACTCCATGTCAAAATAAAGAACATGTATTTTTCCACAGACTATTAATTTTTTTTTTTTTTTTAAATAGAGATCACACCTGTAAGACTTGGTCTTTTCCACTCTGGCTCTACAGAACTTTTGCAGGAACCTTCTAGGAGCAGCAGTTAGAAGATTCAGTTTAGTGACTAATGCTTTCTAACTGAAGTGAAGCAACTAAAAGACAAAATACTGCTTTCCTGATGTGCTTTAGCACTACAGTGAGTGCTTACTGGAAATTTCATTACTGCACAGGGTGAGGGCAAGAATTTGAAACCTTTACTCAGAGCGGATATTGCTTTACACATTCCACAGCTTACTCTTTGAAACACTCATTTTTACTCCTGTGTATATCCAACAGATGGTTGTTTTTTACTATTGGTAGTGACATGAAATTCAGAATGAGAGATAAGTGTTTTTAGGAGAAAGGTGCTGTTATTAATTCTATTAATGTGAACTATGTAAGAAATGAAAACCTATTTACTTAAAAAAAAAAATACCTTTTCCCAAGAAATTAGGTAGTGAGTAGAGTTTTTTTTAAGATGACACCTTGGGTTACTTCAAAGTAAGCTGAAACAATAGATAAGAAACTGCAATACAAACAAGAGACTGAATCACAGCAAATTACACAAATGACAAACCTCCTTGGGAAAATGACACCTTTTTGAATGGGAAATGCTTAAATTATTAACAGCTTCTTCCAGGGAAGAATTCCAGATTCCAGTTTTTGCAACATCGGAGCCATATATCTATTTTGCCGAGAAATCATCCCCGCCCTCTGCCTGCCACCTTATTGGAAATCTTATTTCATATTTCAGGTCCCTTTATCTCCTGTGATCCCAAATGCACTGCCTAGCCTGAAAGTTCACCAGGCAGACTCATTCTTTTCTTACTAATACACCCTTTGTGTCTGCTGGGTTTATGGATTTCATGCCTATTTGTGCAAGGTTAAGATGGGTTGCTTCAGATTTTATGGAGACAGCCAAGTGAAGTTCCACACAAGTGGCCAGATGGGCTTAAACGTATAAAGTGTACTGTGACCAATGAATTAAAGCTGTCACTCTCTATCTCATCTTTTGTCTCTCTGCAGCTGAGGCCATATTAAGATATGAGAACTTGCATCATCAGTCTCTTTTCAAAATGAGTAATTTCTGTATTTTTAAACAGCTACAATACCTTCTACAATGTAATGGAATAAAGTAAAAGATTTATGGAGAGCCTATGGTCCTGAATAAATCTGAAAGACTAATAAATATTTTTCTCTAATCCCTAAAATATATGTATTTGAGACAATAAATCCAGGAGAAAAAAATAATCACAAACTCAAAAACCAAACAAGAATGCTTTTTAAACATGTCAACCATTCAGCCATATAGAAAAGACAGTACTTTTACATACACAAACATTTTGCATTGTTCAGTCAATGCCTGTCTGAAGACTATAAAATCCTGAAGAATCTCTTTGAACGTTTATTATTCTACTTTTTAATTAACATTAATTTCATGCTATTATTTGACTTGTCATTGCAAGCAAAATAATATGCTTACTTTTAAGAAATTAGTCTTATGGCACGTTGTGTATGGGTGGACTGTTTGAGCTATTCCATTAGCTGGTATTTATTTACACACATGGTGAAGAGAAAAATGGTCTATATTCACATTCAGTTATATAACAGCATCAGAGAATAGGAGGTGGAAGGGCTTTCAAGAGGTCCCATTTGACCCATGTCCTACTCCTCTTATAATTCAAAAATAGAAAGTAAGCTAAATATAAAGCAAAGGGAATGAAATCTAGTGAACTCCTCTTCCCTAAAAATTTCCAGGACCTTTATCCTGGAAGCCTTTCTTTGACAAGGACATCTTCCCTCTCCGTAACAGCCCTGTGAAATCCTCAATGATCAATCATGAAAAAAGCTCTTGAAGTTAAAAAAAAAAAAAAAAAGTAATTTTTCTTCATCCCAGGAAATTTCTGGAAGCTTTGATTGAAATACAAATGGTTCATAATGAACATTCCTGTTGCTGCTTGCACTCCTCGGGGGAGATGTGCCAAAATAATAAGTGAACATAAACATTCTGCAGCAAAGTGCATCCTACTGCCAGAGCAGCAGCATTTAATGTACTTGAAAATGCCTCAGAGTTTTTGGAGCAGGCTGATCCCACAACTCCCTGAAACCAGCATATTATCACAGTGACTCATGCCTTCTTCTATCCCAAGATAAGAGCATTCTTTTTAATCACAGATAATGTTGCTATGGCTATTACTCATAAGCTACTCGATTTGACTGTCTTGAAGCTCCAAGTTGCAAACCTCAATGAAAACTGATTAGAATTTACACAGAGAAGAACTGGAACCTCTAATTCTCCAATGTTAAATATTCATATAAAAAATAATAACGTAAAAGCTATCGTTGAGTTGCTAAAGCATAAATTAAAGATTAATATACTACAACATATATTCCAATTAAGAGTGCAATGCCAAAGATTCAAAAAAAAGACTGGAAATTCCAGGTTCACAGGTGTGCAAGGAGCCTTAACTTGGCCTTGCACATGTACAACCTATAGAATGGTACTTTTCCATATGTGTGTCTCCTTCGGTACACAAAATGTACAAACATAAGTAGAAATATCTAAATGCTGTTAACATTGCTATTTGTGACAAACAAAAACTTGCAAAACACCTGGAAACTGTAACATATTGCCTAAGTGTCTTCTCAAATATATGTCCGTGATGCAATATGAAAATTATTTGGTAAAATATTACCAACATAAGAATATGCTATTTTGTCTCCTTTCTAGTTATATATGCTTCCAAAACTGGTAAAATATCATTTTTGCACTCCTATCTTATAACATACAGTTTGAGGAAACAGCACCAAACTGGTTTGTTGAGAGAGGAAAAAAACATAAAGATTATTTTCTTCAAGTTGTTTGCAGGCCACAAACAAAAGTATCGACAAAAAAAGGGGCTGACAGAATGCCCTGAAGACATGCTAGCTAGTTCCCAAATCACATCCCCTAAATGAAGCAATTAGAATAAGAAAGAATAAGAAAGCACAGGTAATACTGCCAAGCTCCCATAGGCAGTATCCCATTAATTTGCAAAAGTTAGGCCAGAGATCAGGAAAAAAATGTTTTGCTGATTCTCATCTTTTTACATAAAGCATTTTTGTTAATTGATGCCTTAGAGTTAACGTGTTGTGAGAAGACAAAAATGGTATATTGAAATTCTACAATTTTGTTTGTCCGCAGCTCAGTATTATAAGCATAATACAGCAAGTTGTACTGTGTCTAGGTCTCAAAAAACAACAATTTTTTTTCCTTAACAACAAAGCTCTTGCAGTCTTTCTTTACATAAAATACCGTATTTTCTTTTAAAACAAACAAACAAATTGGCTTCCAGTCCTTGCAATTCCACAGAAAGCTTTAAAAGGCCATTCAAAAGCCTAAAGGAAAATTCAGAAGCCTCATGGGGGGGTGTGTTTTAAGAAGGCCCATGATTTTTCAGTTGATCTCATGATTTTAAACACTGGAAGGTGATTTTATGAATAACAAGCAAGTCATATTGTTGTCTTGTCCCTGGTGGCACGGGAAGCCTGGGGTACCACAGCTCAGTGAGCTGCTTCGTGTCAGCTGAGACGTGGAAAATGAAAAAGCTTCGAGCTTACAATTTGTACCTGTCTTTGTAACAGGTTAAGTGTGTGCACAAGGTCATTTATCACAGCTCAGCTGATGCATGGGACTGTGATTGCACGCCTCAGCTCCCAGGAAATCCAATGTCTCCTGTCCTCCCCTCTTGTTCTCGTTCTGGAAGGTGGCCTCCAAAAAGTGAAGCTTTCTCCTGTCACACATCTGGCTGAGACTCTGCCCAGGCACATCTCATCCCTGGGGAGCACTCACACAGCACAGAGCCTGCCACGACCCAGTCTCACATTTTTGTAAGAAAAACACATCATGAGGAGATAGATGTTAGACTTGAATGAAAAGTTCTTTAAAAAAAAGCGAACCTCTAAATCACACAGTATGTTCTGTTTCCGTACACGGAATTCTTAATTTAATTTATTCATTTTTTTTTTTAAAAAGGGAAAGATTGTAGTAATTCAGATATCAGAAAAAAGACTTCCTGAAGGAATAGCTGAGGCCAGTGCCAGAAATGCAGAAACTTGAAGCTGTTGGTGGCAAGCACATAGTTCCTAGAGCATGTAGGTACAGGGAGTAAGGACAGTTTCAAACCATCTAAAAGCAGCACCCCTAGTCCTGTTCCCTCCCCCTCCTTGGCCTCCCTTCTGTCTCTCTGGAACCATGTTATTTACTGCTGGTGAAAAGTGCCAATTGATGAAATCAACAAATTAATTTCCTTTCTTTAGAAAGCTACCAGAATAATGTTCCACCCCCATGCTGGGAGCACTTCTGAAAACTAAGAATGCGATTCCTTGATGGGGGCTTGTTCCTTGAGGGAACTTGTATTACAGGGTGGAGCTGGATAAACAGCAGCCACTCTTCTACCTGGATGATTTTAGGTTGATCTGTGCTACCAAAGGATACTACTCCTTAAATTTAAGCACTAATTTTCAGCAGCCTTCTGCAGGACTGTCTAGGTATTTATTTGTGCTGCTTCCTGTGGCATGGATATTCACAAGACTCCAGATCTTTGCCATGGAACAACCAAATTATGGGATTTACTACAGCATATCTGGAACTGGCCACGTCACTTAATTAGAAGCAATAAGTGAAGACTATGAAAGCAAACTCCAACCACAAGGAAATACATGTATTCTACAAGACTTGCACATCTAAACACCTTTTGAGGTGTGTGATTGCTTCATTTTCTAACACAGAGCCAGGAAAAGCCAGGAACTCCGCAGCAGGCAAAAATCTTCCCCCAGCAGTCTCACTTGTTTCTTTTTCCACATACCAAAACCTCGAAATGATTAAGTTCCATTATAAAATTCACCTTAATTAGCATTTCCTTATCACCAGAGAAATGGGGGGGAGGGGGAAGTGTTTATGAGATCTTTGGCTTTGAACATTTGAGGTTATCCTCATGAGCCTCACTAATGTAGAATTTTCAAAACTTAAGCCTGGAAAGCTGACTGTAGGACGCTGTGAATGGTAGCTGGCTGTAGGAAGAGAGCAATGCAACAAATAACTATGGGGTTTCCCTGTACTAATTCCATATTAACGGAATATCATACAAGTGGTGGGTAATTTTGTTGTAAAATCTCTATCAATGTAATGGGGAGTCACATACCTGCATAATTTAACTAAGTTAAAGAGGGACTTCACTTTAATAGCCAAGGAAATTGTACATATAATTTTCCATATTAGTCGCTCTGTCTTGTTTTCACATGCTGTTAATTATAGATTTTTTTAATACAACAAGTGAAATAAGAAGGAAGATCTACTAATGATACAGAGACAGGTGGGACGTAAAGCCCAAAGCAACCTGCTGAGCTTGCTTTCACAACTCTGTACTGTAAGGATAAGGTATTTTGCTACAGGCATACTAGTAAAGCAGCATATGACTATATTTAAAGCTACTTTGAATAATCTTCAGCTAACCAACAGCAAAGATGCATTTCTCCCAGAAAGCTCCAGGAGCAAGGCCCCTGATGTGCATTTATGACAGAGATGTTTGGTGTTAATGAAATTAGAAGGTCAAGATTATTGTAAATCATCTGGGCCCCTCCTTTTCCTGTACTCAGGTTATTTACTAGCTCTCACACAGAGTTGATATTTATTGTGCCTAATTTTAGCATGCTTGGGAATTTTTTTTTCCTCAATAAAGATAAAATCTGATCATGACAAATTGCATCCCTAAACTAAAGTGATTCAACACTTAGTGATTCATACCCCCCAACATGTTTTATTACACCAGTCTTGAGGCTGAAAATTCACTTTGAAAAGTCAACAACCAAACTCCTGAACTGGGAGTCTAAAAAAACCCTGTGTTGTTATAACCCCACCTTTAGAATGCAGTTGTAAAGCAAGTTTTAAACCAGAAATGCCAAATCTTGCTATTCCAGGGATCAAGTGACGCTATCTATTTCACTTGCCTTGAAAGTATTTCCGGTGCCATAAAGGACAAAAGTAAACAAACAGAAATCATGGAAACCACCAGGCAGGATTACCAGCAGGCTTACCTAACTGGATAAACTGGGGATCGCTTTTCACTCCAGGTCCTGCCCCAGTACTTGCTGCCACTTCCACGCTGTATCGAATACCAGGAACCAGGGAGGGGATGACGACGGAAAAGGTGGTACCATCCACCGTTTTGTTGATGTGGTATCGACTTTCATTGCCAAGACACCAAACCTGCAGGGAAGTAAGTGCATGGTACGTATAAGTGTTCAACATTCAACACCAAAGGATAAGCGGAAGGAAAGATGACACATTGTTTTCTCCTGGATAAAGGAATTTATAATTTGTCACTACTTCAACACTTTCTGTCCTAGGCACTCTACAAATAATGAAAAGGTACTTTTTGTTGCAAAGAGCAGATCCAACTACCACCATTATTTGATGGGTTTGTCATAATTCATTCAGAGTTCAACTGGTGTTAATAAAACTAAAAGCATTAGTAGCGCAGAACAGGACAGGGAGGCCCCATAGCCAAGAACTGGTCACATAAACAACTAAGTAAGAGCATTCAGTTTAATGAATTTGCAATTCTCTTGCTCAGGAATTATTTGTCAAGAAAGACTATCGTCACTCAAGTGCCTGAGAATGTCTTTCATCACATGACATCACAAGAGAATTGATGCTACATTGGAATTCAAATGGTTTCTTTTTTTCTTTTTTCTTTTTTAAGATGGCAGCAAGAGGCAAAGACTGAGTGATTTTCTGTCTTCTAATTGAGAGACAACAGCATGACACCAGATCTCAGTTTCGGAGATCTAGACCAGTCTCGCGACTTCGAATCACCACTGTGCAAATTATATCAGTGACATTAAACAATTGGGAGAAACAAGATGATGAGGTATTTTTATCCCTGTAGGCCTGAACCACTCATGTGGCAAATGCTTTTTAAGAGTATGGTTGAACTCCCAACTGCTATTCGAGGTGGAGTAGCAGCTAATCTAGATCTGCTAAAAAAAATGATGAAGCTGTGTTGACTTCGGTTTTGTCCCCTTTCCACAGATGAATTGCTCGACAAAGAACATTTACCCAGAAAGCTAAATTAGTTAAATTCAGTACTTTATCTGTAAAGAAGCAAACTCGGCTGAGAACAGCAGTGTATCTGAGTCTGGGCTGATTGTACATAGGAGGGAAGATTTTGCTTTTGACATATGGAGCTCCTAAAAGATTTAGTACCCAGATAGCTGCTTTAAATCTCTTGTGCAATTCTGCTGATGTGGAGATTGCCAGGTGAGCGAGCTACAGTTTCACATGTAGAACAATTGCCACGGCCCTTTCTGCCCGGACACTGGAAATTTTATCTCACCTTCAGGAGGCTGTAAGATCCTTTTCCCTTCTCTGAATGCCAAGGATTGAAACAAGGCTAGTGGGACACTGTGAGGATGTGAAATGTACTTTAAGTCCCTTTGAAATCGAATCCCAACACAGGATATACATAAGCGCTGCTGCAGAGCAGGTCAGAGCACACAAAGAGAATCTCCTGTTTGTATTCTGATACTATATAGAGAATTTTTCAGTCAGTGTTTGTGGTAAAATTATTAGTAATACTGCTCTTAAATCCTAGAGGATGGTCATGAAAATGATCTTATGTAAATGAGAACTCGATTAAGTGTGGAAGAAAACATTTAAATCTACATTTTGACTGCAGCAATTTTCACAGAGATTGTTACTGCCGCCCTGTAAAATGGTTCATGTGCAAACAATGGAAACAATTTATTATGTGCTTGTGACTATGAATTACTAATTCAGAAAAAAAAGTTTTGTTCTTAGGAGCTCAAGTACATGAAGAAATGCATGGTAAAAGAAACAATAATGTTATGTTAAACATCAGGCTGCTCAGTACTTGCCATACTATATTGACTGTATACCTCAATAGGCAAGTGAAAACGAACTTTCATATAAAACAAGGACGAATTCACATTATAACAGATGCATAAGCTGAGAAAGAATCAGTATAACAAGAGAATTTCTAACTTCATGGTAAGAAAGGAAACAAAAAATGATTTTTGTTGCGAATTTGAATTTCTGGCTTTTTGTTTGTGCTACTGGCACCTCTTCAATTAGGATGGTACACTTCTTCCTCTTTAGTTTATCCTTTAACTACAGTGGGTATACTTTGATTTGAGTTGCTAAGAAAACAATGAATTCCCACACATATGCATATCTTTTTACATCTTTTTTTTTTTTTTTCCCCTGAGAGAAAACATAGAAGACAGAAAAGCAAAAAGGAAAGAAAAAAGAGAAAATTTCACATGACTTGTTATTAGTTTTTAATCTTAAATAACTAGTTCTGCATTTATTTAGTTTTCAGGCAAAAGCAGTAATTACACATAGCAACTTGAAGAGCAATGACATATACATTCATTGTGTCTGTTTTCTGTCTGTGGTGAAAAGCACAAAGGACAATAACAGCAGCAACGCAAGAAATGTAGATGTGAAGTGTGCCAGTGTGCCATCTACTGCTACACAAGCACTGCAGGATGCTTGCTCCTCCACCTGATAGCCTACTCCCTCAGAATGCTAGGAGGTGGGGCAGGCATTATATCCACTTGGAAATGGGAATTTCCTCACTTTTACTGTTGTGTCCTTGCAACCTTAACATTCCTCTCATGCGGTTTCTTGGTGGAAATAATTCCATCTCTCCAGCTCAAGGTCTGTCTTTAAATGAAATAACTTCACAAGTATTTTTTTCCAATTACATTATATATCTGAAACTAAGCCATAAACGGATTTTTTTACCAGTTGACCAGGTTCTGAAAAGGGTTTTATTATTCTAAATTGACCATGAAGCTTAGCAATCTCTTCCCTTTTCCATTTCAACTCAGGGAAAAGGAATATCAGGATGAGTTTTGATGGCTAGGAATATATGTTTATAGCACTGTGTTTAAACCTGAAAAGTAGCCAAGACATTCTCATTTGAAAGATTTTCTCAATAATGCACATTTGCAGAAGACTGAAACCAAAGCTCCTGCCTCTCTATGGCTACAAAGCTTACTTGATATCCACAGCTAGAGACTTAAAACATCTGTGGCTTGCTCAGAAAAAAAAGCTTTATTTACTTTGCTATGTAAATTATCACAAAAAAATTTGAACTGAAAATACAGTCTATGTTTGTAAACGAACATCAAATAATAAATATTTATAATATGCTTTCAAATTGTTAAAAGTTAAACAGCATAATGAGAACTGTGTTTGGAAGAAAAGAAGAATTTCTATACACTAAATAGATTTATTATTATACAAGCACATTCTTCTCTTGAAAGTTTCCCCGTTTAACTACCCAGTTACGCATAATTTACTCAGATCTTAACACTGTTAATTATTATCCCTAAGCTTTTCAACTCATTAAGCCTGTTTATATTTACTACCTTGGCCAATGCCTTAGAGTCACAAAACGGTTCTCAAACAGGTATGGTTCCCCCTCTACTTGAGTGTGCATTTCTCAAGTTATAATGAAGGCAAGGATGTACCTGCCTTAATTAGGAGTGTTGACCCTTCGCTTTGATTCATGGAGGCTGTTTTAATTGCCTTTCCACCACCTAGGCAGAATTACTAAATATGGAGTTTGAGTCAAAGCAGTGCTTTTCTATCCCGTTTTCTCTGAGTAACCAGAAGAGGGAGCCAAGCACCCACGAACAGCCCATCCCTCACTACCTGGCCAGGCTCCATCTGCCAGGGGACCAAGGCATGCCAGCAGTACCTTATATTCTTGAACCATCCCGTTCTGGTTGTCCTCGGGGGGTGGCTGCCAGGTGACCACGATTGCTGTGCCGTTCCCATCGTTCTTAGTTACTGAGACACTCTGAGGTGGAGCACTAGGAGCTGTTTGTTTGGAAAGAAGGATTGAACAGTTAAGTTTGTCGCACCCAGGAGCAAGGTTTCTAAAGAGGAAGATGGTTTCTGGGCTGTACAAATGCGATCTTTTTGTGCCCCATCCTTCAATGAGGGCAGCTCCTGACCACAGGGTAAAATGATATGGAAGGAAAGTGTGTCAAACTGCAACCAGGCTCCTGGGTTTTGCTGTAATCTCGCTGTGCAGGACAGGAAAAGTCACATTCATCACTAGACTCTCCAAGCTCAGATACTCCTTACCCAAATGTCACAGTCCTGAACACAGAATTCATCAATGGTCTCAAATCACCTCATCCAGCATCAACAGTTTTGAAAAATAAAGTCTCTAAACAGACCCCAGTCTAAACTTCATTTTCCTCTAGTGTGTAAATAATAACGAGTAACATGAAACTTATTAAAATCAGGACAGCATGTGTTAATATTAACACATTTATAACAAAAATTTATGGTACACATTTATAACAATAATTTACGGTTCGCATTTGAAATAGTCCTCCTAAAAACCGGACGCACAGCTGATGCTTGGGGTGAATGCAGCTATGCACACCTCCTGAACCACTTGCAGCAATAAACTGGAGCTACAGGGCATTTATAATGGGGAAGGAGGACAGAAAGGGAAAGGTGGTGCAACCTTAGCAGGGGCACGGAAGGCACTGGACACCTTGCACACTCATTACGCCTGTGCAGCAACAAAAGGAAAAGCTTTATGAACCTTCTCTTTTTAACACATGTATGAGATGGAAATGCATAATTTAGTCCACTATATCTGTTGCCTTCATTCATCTTTTCACTTTGTCTCACTGATTGATCCAGATATAAAAGCCTTCTAAAAAGCATGGTTTTCATTCCCTCAGCTACAGGGCTTTGATGATTTCTGTGGTGTCTGCTATCTACTCAAGATAGTGATTAGCAAGTGCTTGAATCTGACAGAAGTCACTTGTGACCAGCCCATGAACTCAGCGGGGAGGAGTGCACACTGCAGGGAAGATAAAATAGCGCATTTCCCATTGTGTGTTGGAGGGGATTTTTTGCACATCCCTCTCTCTCTGTCTCTCGTGCCTGGCTCTGAATATTTACTTCTGTGTCACCAAACAATTCACATAATGATCAGCCCAACACAGCCTCCTCTGCTACAGATTGCTGCTCTCAAACAGTACGCACTTCAAACAAAATCAAATAATGAACACATCAGAAGAAAGCTGGCCAGACTGTTACTTCAAAAAGGAAAGATGAAGACAGTCTGGCTCCTACTTGCCTTCTTCCAGGGTCTTTGCAAATTTCACTTCACTATCTGCTCCCTGAAACTCATTAAAAAAAGGGCGGGCCTTGATTTCGTAGTTTACACCTTTCTTCAGCTCGGGAAGGACAACGCTGTTCTTGGTTGGAGTCCTCACTTCAAAGATTAACCACTCTGACTCTCCGTAGGATGCTGGTGTAGGCCGGTACAGAATTTTATATCCTTGGATGTATTGGGATTGCTGGTCCACCTGGCAAGACAGCAGAACACAGAACACATCCATGAACAGACGCGAAGCAGGGAGGATGCCCGTGACACCGTGCCCGGCCCCTGCGCCACCCGCTCGTGTTACTCACAGTAAACATCCCTGCCAAAGCACACAGAGGCTCCTGGCACTACAGCAAATTACGGGCTGGACTTGCAAGTGCATTAATCTGTTTGATGCTCGTAGAGCTGTGCTGGTTCCCCTGGATTTAGGAAGGCATTAAAGGGGGATAACAGAGTTGTATAATACATCTCGGCTCCATGAAACGAACAGTCTTTGCATCCACGGGGTGACACAGCTCGGCACAGGCCAGACTTCTGCCCACCTGAATGGGCACAGCAGCCAGGGGGCCAGGGGGCACACAGGGAAAGGGGGATCTACAGTGCCACAGCTCAGGGTGATGAATACAGAGGTCAAAGAGAGAGACCGCCAACTGCCCTGAGATGTCAAAGCAATGAGCACTGCTTCCTGCCTGCTTCTTTTTGGAGAAAGTGAACTGGAAGGACAGGCAGCTGGCACCTTCACCACAGCTGTGGCTGGGCTCTGTCAGAGCTGGGCAGGAAAGGGTTGCCCCAAGAGGGCTCTGGGGAGGCTCAGAAAACTCGGTATGGTAATGGGGCTGAGACTTGGAAACGCTGATCAAGCTGATGCTTAGTGCTCCTGAGCACTTTTCAGAACAAGGTAATTTTATATCAAATGTCTGGAGGAAAAAATCTTAATGTAAACAAGGATGCATTCAATATGTTTGGCTATAACTGAAACAGAAAGCTATCATATATGTGTGATCTGTCGTGGAGCATTCGCTATCTTTTAACAACCATTTTCAACTTCTGGTGGGTAAGAAAGTCCAATAACAACCACAATAAAAATTTTTGAAGTGCATCAGATTTTCCCTGTTTTCAAAAATCTCGTACAGTGGTATTAAAAAACCCTCTGTGCTTGCAATTTTTACTCCAAAAAGCAACATATTTCATTTTTAATAATCACATAAAGAATCTGTGTGTTAGCTGAAACTGAGGTAATGCTTATTTTCGAAATTGTGGAGAAGCCACAGGCTACCCAAGAGACTGACAAAAAATGCCTTTCTGGAAAAGGCTGTTCTATAAGAAAAGGTCAAGCAAAATCGTGCTAGGAACCTCAAAGATATTTTAATGTTATTAGCTAAAACAGGAGATTGCCTGCTGCAGGTGGCCATGCTGCAGGTGAGAGTGAAATTACTGTGCAACAGTATTATTCTGGTATTAATGGTATTCTTGCAGCACTGAGGAGCCCTGGTCATGGACCAGGACTCCTCTGGGCTACAGCTCTTCTGCAAAGTCAAAAATCCTTTTGTTCCTGTTCAAAATACTCTGCCATGACATGGCAGGGGCTGCAGCCTTTGCTTTTCCACACTATCCCCGCCAGTATATTGACATGTTCAGGTGGAAGTCCTGAAAAGACCTCAAAGCTCACTCCCTAAGGTTTTATTCCTGTACCTGGTATAATCATATCCCCAATTTTTTTCTTCATTCTGCATTTAATTTTAAAACAGCTCTTCTTTGAATTACATTTTCTTACCTCCTTGTCCACTATTTGCAGTTTCCCACACTGCTCTGTTTTTATTTCTAGTTCTAGATTGCCAAAAGTCTCTCATGGTGAGCCATTTTTAATCCTTTCTCATGCTGACGCCTCCGCCTTGTAAGTCTACCTGAGCCTTTTTTCTGTATGTTCCCAACCTCCTTGCTCCAGGACTCCTGGAGTGTTGTTTCCTCACTCCCTCATTTCCTCTGCAATATCCTCCATGTGGCCAAGTTCCCACTGCCCCCCACCACACGTCAGTGTGACACTGCCCTTTCCATCTCCTCTCTCTGTACCATCTGCACTCCCAGGACCGTTGGGAAGCACGGGTTCAGACGAGGCTCTGTGGATTGGGGTGTGTTTGTAGGATGGAGGTAACACTTTCAAACGGAATTATGGCAGTGCTTCTCTCCACTGGTGACTGACAGACAGGGAAGTGCCCGTGCTATCTCATTAGGAGACTGACAGACTCCTGAAATCAGTGCAAAGGCTTCAAATGACATGACTCAGGAGGCCTTTGATCAGTCCTTCAGCTTCCAGAGAAGAAACAGAACTCTCTATGGGGACACAGATGGGGAAAACGGGACAAAATTTAATGAAGTAGGAAAGCAAAGCCCAAGTCTCTTCACTCCAGGGAGAAAGGATCTGCAAGCATACAAACTACACAGCTTCCTAAAGTGTGACTCCACTGCAGTCCAAGTAGGACAATTCAGCAGTACCTGTAACCACCACCATAATACAGATTTCTACTCACAGTCCAATGAACTTCAATTGAGGAGGAAGAAAGGATAGTAGGGTTGTGCAGATGTAGTACCACGTCACCCAGTTCTCTCTGGACCTGCTTGTGATCCACACCTTGGCTTGTTGGTGGAACATCTGTAATAATTTAAGATTCCATTCTCACAAGTACATATTAATAATAAGTTAAAATAAGTGCATGTAAATACAAATTAATATATCAGATAGTATACGATGCTATCACCCACAAAGTTTACTCTAGGTACTTCCCAGTTATGTAAGAAAAAACATCAATTATCTTCCTGAGCAAATCACCAGTGCTGAGGTAGTACCAAATCAATACACTGCACTTCCTCAGAGAGAAACACGACGGAAATGTTGCAGAAAAAGAAACTCCACACTAAAGAAGGCTTTGGTAAATGGCTTAAAGTAGCATTTCTTTGTTCTTTCCTGTTGGGAAGAAAAAATGTTCTGCAAATTCCAAGAGATCAGGAAACCTGTAAAGAACGGCAGAAACAGAAGCTGGATCTTCAGATAAATTCCTGGCAAACTTGCTGTTTTTAACTACAAAATCACGTAATGACCAAAGAAAAAGAAAAATTAGTCACATGGCTGCAGGTTCTCTGATGGCAAGTGGTTTCTGTAAACAGCAGGCAGAACCTGGGTGAGTCCTGCCTGCATTGTTTGATACTTGGTCCATCTTACAGCTAGAAGAGTTATTCGTATGAATGAAGGGACAAATTCCTCTTAAAATATGCAATGGTACAATGGAAACATCTCTCTTGCATGCTGAGCCCTTGAAAAGCATATTTAACTGAAATGGACGACTGTCAGATGTATAAAATTTATAGAGCAGCACTAACAGGGTATCTAAAATAGACAGACACTCTGGACAGCAGAGTAACAAAGCTTCTGTATTGATTTCACACCTCTCTCCTTGATCACTTCATTTTAAACAAATACCACGCTGAGTATCATTAAAAATCACAGGCTCGGAAATTATTGCAAAAAGTACTTGAAATTTTTACTTTCCTTTTTTAAAATTAACTTAATTCCAGATATAGAGTAACGCATTATATAAACTTTGCTCCAGCCTGACTACTTCCCTGCTTGACCTCCTCTAGTGAGAAAGCAGCATCAGGAAATCTTCAAGGGTTCTGTTCTCTGAAGACTGGAATTTCCTGGCAATTTCCATGGCTGTCTGCTTTCAAGAAGTGCTAGAGTATACCAAATTTCTGTATATATTTATGTACAGTTACTGTAATAAGTCACTGCAGGTGTGTAGACTATCCTGAAAGATGAGGTTTGGACAGCACAGTTGATGCATTTACTAAGTGTCATCTACATCAGTGAGTGCAACAGTTGTAAAACACGCTTTTTGCATGGTAGTCATAGTCTCCATTTACCAGCTTTCAATACTGACTAAATATTAAATTAAATTAAATATTAAAAAAACCAAGGTTGCATGAGGATAAGTCATGAGGCCTACTTTCCTTCCAGAAATACAGTTCCCATTCATACAAAGCCTATGTCACTTTGAACTTTAGTCATACGGTTTCCTCAACATATTTACAAGAAGCTGGTATTTCTTCAAAGTTAAAGAAGCAAGCTGAGGTTAGCATGCAGTCTGAGAGTGACAAATCTGGATTCTTAGCAAGCAACACTGATAACAATGAAACAACAAAGCAAAAAAACTCTCCGATGAGTCATTGCTATTTCCACATTTAGTATGTTCTGCCAAACAGCCCATTTATCAGAGTATTTCCCTCCTCCCAAAGTTTGAAAGCATTAAAGATAGAAGCTTCTGTTTGGAGTGTTGCCTAAACATCACCCTGCTTAGAATGTAAAAGGAAAGTCAGTGGAATAATTAGTTCTATCTTCACTAGTCCTAAAAGATGAGTCATCAACAATGTGAATCCAACCATTCACAGGGTCAGCCATTTGCACATCTGTGCTATACAATGATGTGTGTGTTTCCATGTTTCAGCTCCAAGCTTCCAAGGCAGGGACTGTCAAGTTGATGACACCCAAACATGTGGTTGGTAATGGTGGTAAAGTGCAAAGCTGAAGGTAGGTTAGGTTCCCAAACTGGACATGCATTATAGCTAGGCTATACCACCCTCTGGACAAAACTCAACTTGGAAATTTTTAAACTTTTTTAGCTAGACCACAACTTAAACAAAACTGAAATGGTATTGGAAGAAGAGTAGAATCTCTTAAAAAACCTGGCACTTGATTATATTTCTTACTATTGAAGAAGATTTTGTGTATTGGTTGTTATTTTCACTGAGGTTCCGTGTGGTTCCTCCGGTTTTCAGTTCTACTGGGTGCCCAGAGAACAGCAAAGCTTTTCCATGTTACTATAAACCATTCAGTTGAGTGAAAAGAACATTTGCTGTTTCTCAGAATCATGTCAGTGATCAGTTAATTTGGGACAGGCACAGTACCTCATCTTGTCCTCAGGAATGAAACTGCACTACACCACATGAAGAACAGACTCGTGTAGAACACTGCAGCCTGCCCACATAATAACATGTGTTGATCTTTTTCCAGGAATCAGGAATCAGCAAAAGGTTACTAAATCTTTCCTTGGTAACAGACTTAGGAAGCAGTGCAATCCCTCTCTTCCATGTGTCCCTGACTCTGCTGTCTACATTTATCCACTGAAATTGTCAGCCATCAGGAGAAATGCATAATACCAAAAGACAGCAATGTGAAACTGGTCACTCCCCAGGGGAGATCAGAGAGACTTGCTTTCAGACCAATGACAGAAAAAAATGAGAAGTGACCAAAGGAAAATGCTTTGTTTCCTCTACAGAACTTCCTTTCAAAAACAAACATGTACTTACTTATGCAAACAAAGAAACAAACACACAACACGGACACTCTTAATAAGCCAATGGGTCAGTTTCTCCAGTCATCAGGAAGAGCAGAAAAGGAAACAAACAAAAAAAAGTATGAACTCTATCACTTTTCCTTTGAAAAAAAGGTATTTCTAGCTTTCCCCTTCTTAAGAAGGTAAGTATTTCGACTGGCAAAAAGCAGGCTTCAAAGTCATAATGTATTATTCCCTGTACATCATCCAAAGCGTCATTTATTTACTACAGTGAACACAGCTATTTTTTAATTTCACATTACGGCTGGATTCAGTCCATAGCTGGACTTCAGTCACAGCTGGAGTCTGTGGATGACTCCTTCATCCACTTCTACCCAGCCTTTTCTTCCACTTGGCTATCTGTAAGCATCGTCTCTCTTCCCTACTATTTTACTTCCAACAGTTGTATTATTGAAATACTTTTAATATACTGCCAAAACCTCTTATTTGCTGGCCCATGATGCCAAATTCCTTCAAATTTTAAACTTTTCCTTTCCTAATGCAGCAGAAATCAACTGATTTTTCTCCCTCTGTCTCAGTCTTAAGCCTCATTTGATTCACTGGACATAGTAATAATGTTTCCATGGAATTTGAGTATTTGTGTGGTAACTCAGAAAAACAGAGATTACTGTTGTTGCTAACAGGAGCTGCTATTCTGCAAGATGTAACTATCTTTGGACAAGATATACTAGGGTTCCCTTAGGCAATGCAACATGCTGTCAGAGTCTGTGTTATGGAGAAATGCAAGTTTAAACACACTATTTTACCATAGAATACATTATTGCCAGGATAGGTAGACAGGCAAAAGCTACCAAAATTCCTGCATCTGCTATCCCTTAGTCCACTTGTGACAGCTGCTGTGGACACCCAAAATGTTCAGAATCAAAAGCTTACCTTGAGTTTTCACTGGATCAGATATTTGGCTTGGGTCGCTCAGTCCATACGCATTAGCTGCTCTCACAAGGAACAGGTAAATCGCATTTGGTTTTAGCCCTTTAACTGCAAAACTCTCCATTTTCACATTTTCAGCTACAGTTTGCCAGCTGCTCCCAGATGCATGGCTAAGGACAAATCACACACACCAGCAGGTTAGCACGTGCTTGTTTAATAACATATTAAACACAAAGGTACAGACAGCAAGATCACGAGACTCGTGTACCTGAAGGCCTCAATTATGTAAGAGGTTGGCGTTGCACCTGAATTCAAATTAGGTTGCCATGACAATGTAACTGTATTTCTGCTGACATCTGTCACCTCGGGTTTTGACGGAGCACTGGGAATCAAGTTTGGGTCAGTGGGTCTCGGTGGCTGCACTGGGACTCCAAACTCTAACAAAGGAGAGAGAAATGCTGAGTATGGACAGGAAGCAGCTGTAAGCCAAAGAGCTGTTCACATCTGCACTGGCAATTTATGACAGAGCCAGATGACTTCTGCATTTCAATTGCTGATTTTCCTTTATGTATTCTCTCCTTGCAGAGAAACCCTAATTGATTTACCTTGGACCTCAATGTATGCACTCCATGTAGCTTCGCCACTCGGGGTTGAGGCGATGCAGGTGTAGCGACCGGTGTCGCCCAGCTGAGCAGGGAGAGAGAAGAATAAATATTTGAAACAATCAGGCACTCAGTGGGCTAGAAAAGTAATTACAGCTCTCTGTGTACCCCCATGAATATGGATGAACGTATTAGAGGCTGCAAAAACTTCGAACTACAAACTTCTTCCATTAGAAGTTATGATTTCGTGTGCTGCGGAAGGAAGATGGGTATTTATTTCTGAGCAGTCACAACAGAATTGGAAAAGCTGCACGTTCTAATTTAGTGTTGACTATTCTGTAATGAACAAAGTGAAAGCAAATTTTGTAGCATTTACTCCTTACTCTGCACAGGTCTTAAAAAATAAATTGAGAAGGAACTCAGATGACAAGACCCCATGCAACTGTCAACCCTCTACATCAGTAATGCCTGGGGATTTATGAGAACTGAGCACTGGAGAACATGTCATCCTTAAATCAAAGCTTAAATATTCCACAGGGTACACATGGGGTTCCCTGTGTTAGTATAAATTTCAATCTACAGCAGATCCAAAAAGGAATATCCATATGCTATTCTCATCCAGTCCTGAATGTTGGATTATTTGTCCATATGTGACTTAATCACATTTCAAAAGAGTTTCCTTTTTTCTCCCCAAAAAGAAATGCAATCCTCCTAAGGTCCCAGCCTCACCGGATGAGCTGGACAGAAGTGATCAAAAATCAGAGGTTCAAGCCCTAAGCCAGTCTAACTTGTAATTGGCAACAGGGCAACCCTGGGGAATATGGTAAAGTGATGTATTCAGCCTAATTTCAAAAAATTACTATATTTCAAAGCACAGAAAAGATGGCGGAGAATAACTAGTATGACAAAATTTAACATTTTAAAACATTTTACAGTGTGCAAGGCATGACCAGCAGCAGTACTGAGCAGGTACTAGAACTCCCTGAGGAGTATCTGACAGGTGATTAACCATTTTAAACTACAGTACACTGAGGAGTGAATATGTTTAAACACTAAAAAGTCTTTTAAAAAAGCTATGTACATAGCTCTATTACTGCTCTATGCTGAACAAAGGTTTTCTTTATAAACATTTAAATTAACTAGATAATGTTAATCTATTAGTGCTAAAGCCCAAATAATTTAATGATTTGTCTTACTGAAACACAAGTTTGCTTTCCCTTTCATGTTTCAAGTACCAAATAATTCCCTTAATTAATACCTTTTAAAAAGCATTTTTCCTTATGAAACCTGAAATAATGTGCCTTAGGCAGGCGTTAAGCGTAAAGAATGAACTATCTGAAAACACAAAGTATCAAATATTTTCATACATTTATGTAACGTTTCATTAATTCTAAATGTAGAATTTACCACATCTAAAATGCCTGGAGTTGAAAAAAAAAACAAAACCAAAGTGAAACGAACAACAAGGAAACCCACTGGCCAGTTCAAGCTACCTTGGCATATCGGATCTGCAGTGCTCCCGTCTCCAATTGCTTGATGCGGGAGTCCTGGGTGGAAACGAGGATTCCATCCTTTTTCCAGAGGATAGTGGGCATTAAAGTGCCAGTGGCCACACAGTTCAGCACCAAAGTACCATCTACAGCTACGGTCTGATTCACAGGACCCTGTCGAATGACAGGGGGAGGCCGGTCTGCAATCACTGCCAGGAGAAACAACAGGAAAGAGATTTCTGCAACTGGAAGCAATTTTCTAATCATCTAAGCAACAGCAGTTGCTCGAGGCTTTGAAACAAACTAAAGATAATTAAACAAGTAATTAAAGTTGGAGGCATGCATTATTCAGGGCAGGGTGCATTATAATGATGCACAACTATGGAAGTTTAAGATGATTCCCAATACAGTATCTTCAGAACGTGAAGAGTATTGCACGTTTCACAGCGGTATCCGCAAGGCACTCTCTAATTCCAACATCCTTATAAAGCAATAATGGAAAAAGAAAAGACTTCCCAAATTCTTTCATCTTCTACCACGTGGCAGGCCTGCATAACCAGAACTCATCCTTCCAGCATTTGAAGACAGAGAAAAAGGACGTGGGCTGTCAGGGGATAACCTGACAAGTACGTACTGTGTAAAAAAAACCTTCATCGCATTCTGTCAACTCATTGCGGTGCCGTTTCCTAATTGGGAGATGCCCAGCAGTAGGGTAAAGTAAACACAAAACTAATGGATAGAACTACCATACTAAAGAAATTTCCACTCAGAAATATTTTTCCAGTGGTTTCTGACTTTTAGTTCTGTGATGACTTAATCTGTCAATATGACTTCAAAGCCGCAAAGAAAATCCCACGGTGTGTTTACATCAATTTTAATGCACCTTTCATGGGTTATTTAATAACTGCACAGAGGAAGGTATAAAGCAGTCTCAGTATTCACAGAAAAGAGTGATTGTGTACACGAGGTTTTTTTTCCCATTATCCAATGGATAATCAAAAAAAAAAGAGGTAGAAGTTATCATATTATGCTTCAGTGATCTGCTCTACCTGTACCATCCAAGATGACATGGACTGATGATCCGAAAATAGCCATAACTTTAAATGACATAAATCTGTACAGCAGTGTCACGGGGCTCACGTAACTTGAAAACTGGTTTGGTAGCTGAAGTACAAACCTGGAGTTCTGATAATTTGTGAACATCAGATATTTCTAAATTACTTTTCATAACAACAGACAGGGTGTTAGTACTGCTTTTTTTGGCTAAATCCCAACCCCCATAATTTCATTTGCATGTTCAAATGACACTCTGTTTTCAACTGCTTAATTTATCCTTTAGTTCTTGTCCCAACCTGTTGCATTGCACTGTGAGGCCACTAGTATCTTTCTCTGCAGAGACAGTCAAAAATAAGCCCACTTAAAATCTGTATTTGACTTTGACAGGTTTGTAAATAGTTTTGCAGTTGCCAATGCTGAGTATGACCCATGTGTGCTCCACAGGACAAATCTAATGCCACTGAAATTCACAGTTAATTTAAGTGCCACTGAAGTTGATGGCAACTTCTATTATCTTTGAGAATACCTGGGTATCATTCAGCATATCCTGCCTTCCTTTTCATGAAAGTACCAAAAAAATTATTGCCCCAAGACACTATAGTAAACAACTACCCATCAGATATCTATATATCATATATATCAGATATCCATATACCTTAAAATCATATCTAGCTATATATATATATATATATATTTACCTATCATATATATCAGATATCCATATATCCAGACATATATCCAGAGCATAGAGTAAAGAAAATATATTTAAACTGTTTTTTCCCCAAGTTCAGATGACATAGGTCACTAGCAGAAAAACTCTTTAATTCCCTTAAATTTCTATTTTAAATTTATCTCTCACCTTGCCACAGCCTTCTCCCCAGTGAAAAAACTGGATTAAGGAGGATCACAAAATGTGGCTTATCATTGTGAGAAACCACAAAGGATGTAGTCCTATTCCTCCAATCTTAGTCCAGGGGGTGTAAACAAAAAATTTTATTCTCCAGGTTCACTGCATGTTTCTGGTATTGCATTATTTCTATGTTTTCTATAGTGCAAAGGGCTATTTTACAGAAACTATTCTCAGACAACAGCTTCCCTCCCCCTAAAATCTCCGCACTTATCCTCTTTCTCCATAAGTGCTAAGATTAATATTTTCCCTGAGCATCTTTGCTGTTAAAAATATGAAGTATTTCTGATAATGAGAGACTGGCCTCACATTAGCACGTATAACCGCTTGTACTCATGCTCCCTGTAGCTTTTTCATCCTAATTTTTTTCCCAACTACTCCTAAAAATAGATGTACGATCATTTTAATTTGTCTGTTACCCTGCTGATCTCCATATAGGTTGAGGTTTTTTCATTGCTATAATGGAATATTAAAAAACAGGGGGAAAACCAGGGGAGACGCTAAGCAAATGGACACACAATAACAGGGATAAAGAGCGAGTCAGCAAGTAATCTGAAAGCAAACTCAGTGTAGTGGGGGAAGGTAAAAAAGAGTCTGATTAACATTAACAGATTTGACAAAAATCCATAAACTGAATACACTTACCAAAAACAAAATGGAAATAGAGTGTAACACAATATCCAGAATTTTAAACCCCCGACAGAGACGGCCAAAACAGGATTTTTATGTTCAAAGACACATGCAATCCACATTTATGCAAAGCAGATTTCAAAGAAGTGTCACATCGCTCCACTGCTGCCTTCAAACCAAAACAAAAAAACTTGGGAACGATAAACTGAATCCATGATTACCGTCTGTAACTTCCAAGTAGGCTTTTGTTATGATACTTCCTGCGACGTTTAAGGTCTGGCAGATGTAGTACCCAACATCGGACCTCTGGACGTTGGTGATCGTGAGGTCTCCTGTCTGGGAGACTGAAAATCGGCTGGATGACTGAGGGGGCTGGTATGAGAAAAGGAGATTCTACAGGATGCACAGGAAAGAAGACGGAGGGGAAAGAAAGGTTTAAACAAATTCAAACATCAGTAATCTTAACTCAAATACATCTAAACAAATTAATCTTTTTACATTACACAGAAAACATTCTGCTCTTCCTGTCTTAAGCACGACTGTACCACAACGTGAACAGCTTCTACAGGATCTTTTGTGATAAAACAGATGCAGATACGCACATATAATTGTGAGAGATTTGGGGGAATGTTCTAACATTCTCTATGGTTGATGTCAGACGTTGCACAAAGCTTAACAGACGCTAGTGAAGATGTGATATGTACAGATACCACAATGGTGCAAGCAGCTGTGGTGAACCTCAGTAATTTGCTTTAATGTTCTTTTTCAGAACTTGCTCCAGGGCATCCGATTTCTTTCATTTAAATGCAGATGTTGGTTTACTTATCTGTATTTTAACATTTGCCTTCCTAAGAATGGAAAAGTTTTTTTTTTTTTTTTTTTTTTTTTTTTTTTTTTTTTTTTTTTTTTTTTTTTTTTTTTTTTTTTTTTTTTTTTTTTTTTTTTTTTTTTTTTTTTTTTTTTTTTTTTTTTTTTTTTTTTTTTTTTTTTTTTTT